AATACTTCACATCTCATTTGCAATATATCTACTCTAAGACTACTTTTTTTTCTATGTTATCAGCTGGGAGCCCGAACGTGGTGGTTTATGACCGCTGCCCTCCCCCTACCCCTCTATCACACCCCCTCCCACCGAATGTAAGGGAGGCTAAAGTGTCCTTCGTTACCTCTCCGTACCAAATCTGCAAAAAGGCTTCAGCCCCTCCCACCACAGCCATGTTTACAAGTTCTCTTGTTTAAGTTTGTATTCATATACATCAAATATTATTTTTGTCTGGAATGCAAGACATTACTGTTATATGAGTATTAGGATTGCGACTAACAAGGTTTAGGTTCCTTGATCACCTCCCTGCCCAGTGGCATTGCAAGGTCCAGTGGTACCCATTGCGAAAATTTTCCTGTCACCCCCCTCCCCAGTGCCACTGCAATGTGACGGGGTACCTGGTGCGGACAATCCCCCTTTCCCCTTCCCTCAGTGACACTGTAAGGTCAGGTGGTACCCAGTGCGGAACACTTCCGCTCACCCTCTACCCACCCACCCCCACTCCTTCCTTTTTTGCACGCGCGCGCGCACACACACACACACACACCAGGCCAATAAGTTTTTTTTTTTTTATATCCAAAAACCATGCATTGTTAACCCTTTGGCTCGGTACTATGGATATCGCAACCCTTCGGTCTTGATTCCATGATGGATACCGTAAATCTGGGAGAAATGAAGCTTTTTTGCTTACCCCAGGGCGTGAATCTGGACCATAAGGAGTTCGTCACCAGGTCACCGCGCAGTCAGGTTCAACCTACTGAGCTAGCCAGCCGGGCATAGAAGATGTGTTAGGGGACTATGTTAAAAATTGTAATTTTTCGTCCTAATGGTCCTCAGTGTTCGCAGAATGTGTGCATGAATAAGACGAAGTATCAAGTCTCTCCGAACGATTAGGGCTGCGCTCGCATTTGGGAGACCGAAATTCTAATCCTCGACAGTAAACAAAAATGTTTGTAAGTAGAGGTCCCTTTTCCACGCCTTTAGGCCTAGAGGGCATACAGAGCTAGGCCTATTTTTTTCTTTTTTTTTCTTTATAGACCAATCGGCACGAGATGGATGATATGGCAAGCATCACGCCGGCTGCCTTTACTTCTAGGGACTGCACCCGGTACCCACTCTATGCTAATTAGACCTGTGAGTCAAAGTCATTTTTGAAAGAAAAAAATCCGGCTCCGCCAGGGAGCGAACCCACGAAAAAATATATGTGGAGACAAAGAAAGATTCTAACCCACCCATTCGGCAAGACTGCACTAGACGAAGGAGCAATGATTTTGTTATAAACATGATTAACAATTTATGTTTTAATAAACGGTTTAAAGATACACAGATAAATCTGTCTCTGCTTTTCAGCTAAAAGAGAGACTGGCTGCTGACAAATTTTCTCAAGAGGCAGCATGGAACGCTTCCGGCTACAATCTAACCGTAATGGATGCAACAATGAGAAGACAGTTTGTTAAAATCATGGACATAGGAACTGCAGCACAGACCAATGAAACGAAGTTGATTCATGTAAGTATTCTTGAAATTATTATAATGTTTTGTAAATATATTTCAGTCCCAGGCACGAGCCGCGGTAGTGTATATCTCAGCAGGCCCCAAAGTCGTGGGTTCGAATCCACATGGTCTGAATTTTTTTTCTGACTTGTCGACATCTGTGGCTTAAACATTGCGAAAGAGCATCGTAATTCCGAGATACCTTGTTTGATTCCAGCCATACTTGGATTTTCCATTTTGATACAAATGCCGCGCCGACTGGCGTGGGCGATCATGCCTCTCCACAATCTACTATCTCCTGCAGTATGTATTAGTATGTGTGCTGATACACCTCCATGCCATGCAGCAAGACTGTCAAGAATCTTCTCTCGTTGTCTTCCTCTACCCCTCCTTCCACAGATCTTTCCAGTGGTCACAAAATGTTCCATTTTCTCTCTTCTCGTAAGATGGCCGAAAAAGATGATGACTGTCTCCTTCTGACGTTTGTGATAGGTTGTCTTCAGGTTCCCGACTCTTTCAAAACCTCTTGGAGTGTTTATTCCTGGTTTATTACTGCTGGCGTTTATTTACTAATGGTTTTTCTATGTGTCGGTGTCTGCGGCTTCATCAGTTGGTTCTGCTACGTCTACAAACGTTAGTCTCTACAAACAAAGCAGGTCACGTTCCATTCATAAGCTTTTTTCATCTGGTCTACCTTCCCTCAGATTACGGGTGTGCCGCTCTGTTGTTTGCTTTCTGTGTTTTACATTTTTATTCCGAGAAAGAGAATGTTTGTGACTTAGGTTTCATCACTCTCTAAATGGGTTTATGTTAGACCTAGTTTGTCAATGTTTTTGGAGTGTTAAAAGCGCTGGCGTGCTAAAATATACAACACGCGATACGATATCAACGGCATTGCGGGAAACTCCGTAACCTTGTGGCCAGGCAACGTGGCTCCAGGTTAAACAATCAGAAGTGAGCTAGACTGAAGGTCAACCAATCAGCAGTAACACTGTGTAGATACGGAGACTAACGTTTGTATAACCGGACTACATTTTCCTGTATTGTGACACTCAAAAGGCGATGTAGAGAAGAGAATCCTGTTGCTGTTAATGCAGAGGTCAACGCTCTCATCGGTGAAAATTCAGACGAAGCAGATGCACTAATCTATACAGACGGGTCCGTTATACGCTAAAGAAGAAGCGCATCGGCATTCACAGCACGCTCAGCGGGCAGAACAGTCAAAGAAGCCATCGGCGCCTTCTCCATGACAACCAGCAGCATGACGATGGAGGTGATGGCAGTGACGCAAGCGTTTGCCTGGCTTGAAACACAAAAATACACCCGCGTTTGTGTATACTCAGTGATTCAATGAGTATGATCCAGAGGGTTCAGGCAGGTTCAGTGCGAAGACAATGGCTTGAATCATTACAGAATTCCACTGTGCGTTGAGTCGCCTTTATTTTTGTTCCGGGACACACAGGCGTCGATGGAAATGAAAGAGCTGACAGGTTGGCTGGATCCGCTATTACTACCGACGGCCAGCCTATGGATCATGCTGATATTTTCAATGAACTCAGAGAAATGTGAAGGATAGAGGACTTTGGTGGCAGTGAATCCACATCACTCGCCAGAATGGCAGACTTGGGTATTAAGATCGGCACAGCAAAAAACGAGACGCACACCAGACACGCCAGAAGACTTATTAATCAACATAGAACTGGTACTATTAGCCATCGGACGTTGGGGTTCATACTGAGGGGAGGATCTGAGCACCTATGGACATGTCCGGAGTGCAGTGATGATAACCGAACTAACTAACTAACTAACAAAATAACCGGACTGCAATTAACTATTTAGAAAGGGTGAAAAATCTGTATAGCAGATACTTCGTGATAGTGAATTTTGTAGTATTATCGTTTAATAGGATGGTCATTATCTAAAGCCCATAAACACAAAATCATCACTTGCGAGATGAGATGCCTGAAAAAAGCCGCCAACCTAAACATCCGAGATCGAGTGAATAATACTATCAGATAAATTGTGGGAACGACATCTTGTACTCGCTTCAACGAGAAATAGCAGATCAAGTGGTTTGGTCATCTCGTTAGAATGTAGCAAGATGAACTACCATCACATGCGCTACATCTCAAAAGATCAGCTGCAAGAGCAAGAGAACAGAAGGACGAAAAATATGGATCGACAACATTAAAGACACTGCTCCTTTTACGACATGACAATAGCCAGTGGCAGTCAGTGTGCAATAGATCGCAAATTATTCCTCCCATGACACTTAACGGAAAAAGGGATTTATGATGGTGATTATCGGTTGATAGGATTTACATATCCTATGATTACTGTACGATCAGTTAATATGGCACAATGGCTACTAGAGACCGTAGCTACCAGATGGCTAGCCGTTTTGTGAAGAGAGACTGGGCCATCTGGGATAATTCTCCTGTGCAGTAAAGTTCGAGTAACATAAAACTGGTTTCATTATCTTTTTACCGCGATAGCAGTGAGTCGCCGTGAGTTGGCAGCTAGATTTTCGCCTGCGGGTCGGAAGGTCGTGGGTTCGCGTCCTGACGGAGTGGGACTTTTTTTTTAATGACCTTGACTAGACCCAGCCTTGAGTTGGTACCAGTTGCAGACATGGGAAGTAAAGGCAGCCGGCGTGATGCTGACCACGTCACCCACCAAGTGCCGATTGGTCTATAAAAATATACTACCTATAGGCGTAAAAAAAAAGGCAACCTTACTTTACTTTTTACCGCGGTAGCATAACGGTTAGAAACGCAGGTCTTCCGATGCTAAGGTTAAGGGCGCATATCCATACTGTGTGGATTTTTTTCTTCTTCTTCTTCTTTGCGTTTGATCAGACCGTTAGGGGGAGTTGCCTCTATGAACTCGCATGTCAGTAGCTGGTCCTGGATGGTTCCTCATAGCTTGCTCTGCGCACTTTGATCTTGAGGCCAGGTGTCTTTTCGAAGTTGTAGATAGAGTTGGCAGGTCTGTGGTGTTTGTGGTCCTGTTTGACAGGCACACTGTGGGGACTGAACATGTGGTAGCTGAGCCTGCAATGTACTGTTCGTAGAAAGAAAATGTTTGTATGTTGCTCTCTGTTAAGTTTGCTGATGGGGTCTTGTGGATGTTTACTGTTAGTTTGTTATTTCTATAGTTCCTTGTATTTTCCCTCGATAAGTGTTCTGATTTCTGTTAACGACAATGGATGGGTGTGTGTTTTTTTCTTCGTTGTTCCATTTTTAGCAAGTCTGTCTGCTAACTCATTTCCTGGAATGCCGCAGTGAGCCGGGATCCAGTGGAGAACGATCTGATTGCTTTCTGTGAGTCTGTTTAGCTGGCGGGTCAGTTCTCTCTCCATGTTATCTTGTGGATCCCTCTGAGTTGCCTGAAGGACTGACATGCTTTTTCTTTTTCAACAATTGGCATTGCCTTCGAGGTCTACTCAGCTGAAAATAAGTACCAGTAAGGTCCTGTGGAGTCTGTGTGAGACTGTCTACAGCAGCCATCAAGTGTCTACTGGTATACAAAAGCAAGTACCAGCTCAATATTTCCAATGTGTTTCCAGTTGTAGACAGTGGTATGTTTTCCACTAGGGAATGCTAACTAAATAGCTGGCTCCCCTGCAATTCAAAGAAATGCATTCTTGATGCCAATCCCCCAAAAAATACGCTGATACCTCATTCAACCTTCACAGAAGTTACAATTAGGGCATTCTTACACCAAGCACAAACGCGGTGAACAATACAGTCCTGTGAGACACAGAAATAAGACCGGGGAAAAAAATGACATTTTTTAACTGCTTCATAACATCAAAACATGGACCTCTAAACTTAAGTAAGAGTGAACCGTTCTTACCGATACAATAAACAAAAACATGACATTCTTTATGAACCAGAAGTAAGACCTTGTCAGGTCAAGATGGTGCAGTAAATGTCATTTTTGGTAGGCTAAACTGAACCGTAAATGTCACCTTATCTGTGGCGAGGTTAACACTGAGAATGCTTCATTTTCTTTGTAAACAACATTGCTTTACCTGCCAAAAGGGACATAACTTACCGGCTTGGCATAAACTTATTATAGAAGAGCCTGAAGCTTGCTATCCTGAAGGGCATGTTTTAGGTAGTAAGTCTGAGCCATGTTGATCTGTTTTATGTCCTTTCTTGGAGCGTGTACTCCATAATAGATCCGCTCTCTTATTCCTCTGCTATGCTGATGCTGTTGCGACTTCTCCTTTTTGTTGTACTACTGCTACTGTTACCACCCCTATTACTACTAGAACAACAATAACACTAACATCTACAACAACCACAAAAACATCTACAACAACAACAACAACCACTTCTGCTACTACTACTACTACCACTTCTACTACTACTACTTCTGCTATTACTACTTCTACTACTACTACTACTACTACTACTACTACTACTACTACTACTACTACTACTACTACTACTACTACTACTACTGCTACTACTACTACTTCTACTACTACTACTTCTGCTGTTACTACTACTACTACTACTACTACTACTACTACTACTACTACTACTACTACTACTACTACTACTACTACTACTACTACTACTTATCCATCCTATTCTCCTCACCGTCATCGCCATCCTCGTCGTCCTTCTCTTCTTCTTCTCATTGTTCTCCTTCTTCTTCTTCTTCTTATTTTACTTCGTCTTCTTCTTCTTTGATTTTTCGTTATCTTCTTAACTGTCTTCTTTTTTTGTTTTCTTCTTTTTTTATCTCTTAGTTCCATTTCTTTATCGTCATTTTTCTTCTTCTCCTTCTCCTCCTCCTCCTTTATCATTATCATCTTCTCCTTCTGCTTGAACTTTCTCCTACTGGAGCGTAATTCTTCAACACACACCAAATTCCTTTTAATTCATTTATAACTGATTGCATTTTGCATCTAGAGTTCCCTCCGAGATGCAGGAACCATCTCACCTAACTTTCTATAATCGCCACTTGTCACGTCAGTAATATATAAGGTAAACAAATTGGTTAGCATAATGTAAGTAAAGTAAAGATCCTGTTTCACGCCTTTAGGTGCATCGGGCATATGGGAAGGGTCCATATTTTTATAGACCAATCGGCACTAGGTGGTTAATATGGTCAGCATTATGCCAGCCGTCTTTACTTCCCCAGGACATACATCCTGGTACCCATTTTAGGCTGGGCCGACCTGCAAGGCATCATACCATGATGAAAATTCATGCAGCCAACAGCGGGTTTCAATCATGGAACGTTGGAATTACTCACAGCACCTAAGCCACGGACGCCGCCTACTATATAATGTTAAATTTTTAATTAGGAATCGATATCCCAGCACTCCTGACATTCCCATACACGCTCCGTCCCCATCTTCAGGAGCAAGCGCAGAGTTCCAATTCCAGTGACACCAGTAGCAGTCTGACTGTATATCCGCCTCACCTCTCCCTGAGTGCTGGTCGTCGACCAGAAACCCTGGTCACTCGCCTCGATACCATCCTGTTCAGACCATGATAATCCATCTGTGATCCTGCACTGTTCACTAACCTACAAAGGGCCTTTACAACAACTAGCTGGTCATGAATCAATTCACCACGGAGTTGTACAGAATCAGCCATTACATATGCCTGTTCATTTCCTAACACACCAGCATATAATGGAAAAAAATATCCAAAGGGCGCTAACAACCCGAGATTTCTGAAACAATGCTTGCTTGCCACTCGTCACGGACCATACCGGTCTCCACCTTTCTCAGCATGCTTTGTGAGTCGGTTACAATTACGACATGTGTGTATAGCTGATTCTCACGCCAATGAAAGGCTGCAGGTTGCTTGGGCACCCTGTCGGCTGCATTCACGATCTTTAAACTGTGTGCACCTACCGTCAACATTTCAGTTGGTATACAATCATAACCACAATTTGTGTAGTATAGATTACCGTTGAGGTGATACAACTCATTAGTGTGCAGAAGGTAACAGCTGTATACACACAAATCGTTCGTCTTTCTGGATATACGTTCTAGTGTGAATAGTGAATGTTATCAGTAATGTTACTAATATTGTTCACAATAAACTATCAGCTAAACCTTTCGTCTGGTCCTACATTTTAACTAAAATGCTTGATAGCCTCTTTGATATATTTATCAGCGCCACACAAATATATATATATATAATATTTAAACAAGATATCACATTAGTTAGCGTAACAACACAAATCATAAAGTAATTAATTACGAACAATGACTTGGAAACGCAATGAAAGTAAAGGCTTCGATAAGTACAATGAAATCTTGTTTACAACCGTCTTTATCCATGAATAAATATGTATTTTTTTTTTTTTTTTTCGTTTTCCTGCTGTGTAAGTGAGTGAAACTGAACACTGCTAGAACCATATACCGGGTAATTAACACCCGCTGACCCAAAAGAGTCACTCTTCAGATGAGAATCCCCGTGTACAAATAACTAGAAACCCTATTCAACCATAGGTTATATTGGAGCTCCTGATGGTTATGAAATACCCTAAAGTCCAGAGAGGGTGGGGTGACGCAAGAAGTATAGTTTCCCCACTGTTAGTTAAGCTTCTTCCTCGTGTGGGTTCCAGGGCCCTATTATAGGGAAAACAAGAACAGATCCAATGCCTATCCAAAAGCATGTCGTAAGAGTCGACTAATTGAGAGCTTCCTTTAAAGTCGGAGTGCATCTGTCTGAGAGGCAAGGAACCAGAAGTCTGCATACAAATGAGACAGACCTGTGAAACGGATGTGCACGCAACACTCAGGTTCTGGAACAGGACTGCAGTTCAAAAGTAGATAATACAACCAGAACTTTCCGCATGAGTTTACAGCTGGTGAACACGAAGAAGAAAAAGAAGAAGTTATAAGCTTCTAGCTCCCAGTGTGTGGTGTATTGTGTTCAGTTACTTGATATCAGCTCGATGTGGCCATGCATAATTTCCACCAGAACAAATCGACATTGCAGGGAAATTTGCTTACCTGTGTATGTTTTCTTTCTTAGTTAGGCCAGATAGAAAGTGAGATGGAGACTATCTACAGCACAGCAAAGGCCTGTCTGGCTCCAGAAAAATGTCTTCCGTTGGATCCAGGTAAACAATTCAGAAAGAACTTCAGATAGAGAATATCTTAGTCTTTGTCTTAGTCAAGGTTTCAACTTCACTTCAGTTGTGTCACCCCATACTCGCTCCGTTCTTGTGCCACTGAAAATCAAATAAAATGTCCCTCACTGTCCTATTTGAAAAACTGATAAACAAACAATTAGTCCCGGCACCATCCAGAAATATGGGCACGCAGTAAATAAGTATGGCAGTTGCTAGATGAGCCAATGCCAACAGTCGCCACCATAATTGCAGTTTGTCATTAATGGAAGTAGTCAGGCACGATAAGTTGGCTATACATTTGTAGAATTATTACATAAGGTATTTCACTAACTCACATGTAAACCGGCTACCGGTCACATTGAATACTATACTTAATGGCTGCACATAGGACAGGCATTCCACATGAAAATCACAGCTCACACTGCTGCACCAAGTATTCAACTCAATAGCTCAGGAAGCAAAACCATGGACTACCGTTCATGTGTGCAAACTGCATTAGCAGCAAAACGCCGTCAGAAGCACAAATAATTTCCAAACTTAACATTTTGCAATTTCTAGTCCTCCAATTTAGACCGAAAGTAACCGGGAAGGCTAACCCGGTCAACAAATGCCCGCAGAAGTCAGATGTGTTGGCCGAAAGGTGCAAATATCGCAGCCCTGCTGTAAACGGAACGCAATTACATCTTCGGATGAACGCAGAAGAAGAAAAAGAATACCGAAAGTAGATAAAGAATGTATTTTTTTAAAATCATTTGAAGTTTATTGGCAGATAACTCGAAATGTCGAGTTGAAAAAAGCTGAACTTAGAACCGATGCAATGGCACTTAGGGCATTCACATAAGTCTCCTTCCTCACCGGCAACAGTCAGGGAAGAGGCATGGTACTAAAGTTGCCAGCTGCAGTCCCAGTCTACGTTCTTCTTGCTTTTCCTCTTAGATCTGAGCGTCATACACATCCCGTGGTCAGTAATTTTTGCATCATTACTTTCAGACTATGGTAATCTGTTCACTCTTTCACTTTGTTCACGTGTTCCAAAAAGTCATTGATAATATTTACATTTTCATGCATCAATTGACTCGTAGATGTGTAGAACCAGCAAATCAAAAATACAAAAAGCAGAGAAGGGAGAGTGGGAAGCATCAAAGAAATGCATATTCTGTTTACATCATCACTATTTATTTGTGGCTAATAGACTACAGTGGTTGGGGCAAATAGAGAGAATGGCAGAAAACAGGGAGACGAAATCAGCGTAGACAAAAGAGTTTAATGGGAGTAGACCAGGTTGAAGACAAAGAAGATAGAAAGATAATATATAGGTAGACCTATTTATCACTTGAGTCACCAAATGGAAAAAGATGAACGGTAGGTGTTTTCTGCAGCAAGGAGCCTCACGGGTCTGGAATGCAGAAAGAAGCAGAGGATCTAAAGAAGCATGGTTTAGATTCAGATTCCTGTCAATGTGGATTTTATGATTGGCTTGGGGAAATGGTTTTCAATTTGGAAGCGCGCCCGCCAGGGAGCCTAAGGAAGTTTCAAGAGAGCAACAAGAAATTTTGAAATTGAGTTCCTTTGTACTTGTATAAATCTGTTATACTGACATTTTTCTTCAGTTTGATTAAAAATAAAATATTTTTACATTATATCAAACAAAACGCCAGCACCTTTGTATTATTTGACACCTTGATTTATGTGGTTCTTTTTTCTCCAAGTTCTTGTTAACAATGCCTTGTGATTTTTGTCTCCTCTTTATAATCCCATTTTAAGGGGATGGGAGTTGAAGTCTTGTCATCTGTTCAATTATATTACCTAGTCTTCTCCTTGTGGGATGCAATTTTTCATTATTTTGAAGGCCCACCCTGGCTCTCGCCATGGACCGCAATATGGCCCGAATATAAATATGGTCTAATGGTTGAATGTGGTTTCCGGGACCTCTCTGCGGGTGATCCTTTGTGTCATCGGGTGTTTATCGCTTGTGTGATGTCCTAGAGGGGTAAAAGTTACTTACTTACTACTTACTATATTCAAGGAGGCTCAAAGTGCCTTGTAAACTAGACATGGCTAACTTTGGGAGCGCTTAATTGGTCATGTTTACTGGAGTTGTCTGACATGATATGCTTTTCGGAGCATATTGTAAGCTATCAAACTGTAGCCTTTGCCCATTTGTCTCAACTGTTGCTTTCGTTCCTTTTGTACCACATTGTTATAATTTGACCATCATCAGATCCATCAAATAATTATTATAAGCAGAAATTGTAGATGGAGTTGAGAACTAGTGAAACACAAGTCAGAGACTCAAAGAGTTAAATTTCAAATTGTTATACACATGAATCATTCTTTATGTTTCTTTTATTCTAGACTTAACTCGCATATTTACCACTTCCCGTGACTACGACCAACTGATAGCAGCCTGGAAGGGCTGGAGAGATGCTACAGGTCCCAAGTTAAAAAATCTGTATACTGAGTTTGTTACATTAAGCAATGAAGCAGTTCGGAATTTAGGTAATCATGTTGTAAAATCTCTGAAGTTGTTACATTAGGCAATGGAGCAGACAGGATTGTGCGAAACAAAATGTGTTTGTCCTATCTCTGCCTCCCTTCCTCTCTCTCTGTCTCTTTCTTTCTGTGTGTGTGTGTGCGTGTGTGTGTTGGTAGTGGAAGGCCTGGGCTGTCATATACTAGTGGTAACTCTGGCAATGTGACCATCATGTAATTCTTGGGCTAGTTTTAGCATTCAGCTTTCTTCAGCTGTCAGCATACGGCAGCGGCCATCTTTCGGGCAACAGCTTTCACTGGCTGGCTAAACCAGAAGAGAATAGCCGACCTGTTTGTAAACCACTTGGTGACTGGGATATGCCTACCCTGCAAGCACAGACTGGACTCGACGGATTGGGCAGATGAAACCTCTTATGATTCAAAGGGCAAAAAGGCCCTGTGGAGAGCTTCGAGCAAGGCAGGGCACGTAAGACGCCTTGGCCATCCACTGCAACTAGGTCCATTTCCAATCATCTCGACATTGTCCTGCTATTTTATCAAAATTGACACAGGCGAGAGAGTGAGGTCGACGAATTGCACAACTCTTCCTCAGTTAAATCCAAGTCCTTGTGCAAGTCACTTTCATCCAGTTATTATCCTCATCAATCTTTTTCAAGACTTGTGGCGATGGGAGAGCAACGAGGTGGTAGACCTTGGTTACGTTGGCAGCCGTTGCTGCAGATCTGCCTGCAGGCGGTTCAGGCTATATGGTCGCTGTCTACTGATAGGAGCAGTGGCGGACTTCCTCAAACCCTTTTCCCTGAGTAACTGAGCAGCCCTCTTTGGGATGGTACTGCTTACCTCCACACTGCAGTTGGAGACAACCCCTATTCTGTGATCGACAAAAACGACAACTAAAGTCTGGTTAACATAGATCTAAAGTTCGGCGAATAGAATGTGCAAAGCCTTGATTATGAAAGAACTTGGTAGATACACTATTGACACTGTAGCCGTGAGCGAGAATAGAGTTTCTGGTGAGGGCGAACTTGCAGGTTACACTCTTTTCTCAAACTGACACTTTAAACCAGAGCTTTCCAAACTGTGTTTTTGATACATTAGTAATTAAGCTGCATTGTGAAGGTACTTTGCCCGAACTAAAGCATTAAACAATATATTTATGTGTCTATATGTCTTTTAAGAGGTCACGTTAATCTCTAGTTTATTAGTAGACTGAACTACTGAGTCCTGAAATTATGTCTTTCTAAAAAGTGATTCACTAAAATGAAAAGTACGGAAAGCTCTGCTCTAAAGGATACGAAATCTGAGAAAACTGAGCACAACTGGTAGTGTATCTCAGTAGTAGCTAATAATTCATTTCAGATTGTTGGTTCCTTGCTTCTCAGGCAGATGCTCTCTTACTTTGAAGAAGCCCCCACTTAGCTGACTCTTACGACACGCTTTTGGGTAGGCAGAGGGTCTATTCTTGTTTCCCCCCCCCCCCCCCCCCCCACAGTGGGCCCCAAAACCCACACAGGGAAGCTAATAAGTTTAAAAAACAGAAAATGTTGGCATCTGAAAAAAAATTAGCAATTAACGCGGTACGACAAATGAAACTAAACTAAGAATTTGGATCTAATGAGTAACATTTGTCTGTGATAGAAGAAAGTTAGAAATATATACTATCTTTAGTAAAGAAATGTGTGCTGTCTTTAGTACCCCTGTTAGTTCCGGGGCTCTGTTTGGGAAAACAAAGAATAGATCCTCTACCCCCAACAAGTATGTTGCAGGTAGGTGCTTTACCGGGGGTGGGGAAGGGGGATACAAAACGTCACGTTCAACTGGCATCCCAGAAAGTGGAGCTTTAGGTTATAATTGTGACTATGTTATGTGTTCCATATAAAATGAGTTAGCATTGCACACCACCAAGAGCCACGGAAAGGACTTCTGCAGAACTTATGCGATCAAAGGAGACAAAGCTCAAATACTGTCCCGACTGGGACCGGCGAGCCAATGGGCCACCCGGTCACCGATGAAGCATGTCGGAGGAGGCGACAAATTAAGGATGTTTCCTTTAAGGTCAGAGTGCAACTGTTGTGCATGGGCCTAAGAGGCAAGAAGCCAACAGTCTGCAGACAAATAAGTAAGCTCTGTAAAACGTGCCCTCACAATTCAAGTTCTGAATAAAGAACAAAGTTCTGGAGTGGAAAAGCAACCAGAACTTTCCCAAGGAATTTACCGTCGGTGAATACTAAGAAGAAGAAAAAGAAGAAGAAGAAGAAGAAGAAGAAGAAGAAGAAGAAGAAGAAGAAGAAGAAGAAGAAGAAGAAGAAGAAGAAGAAGAAGAAGAAGAAGAAGAAGAAGAAGAAGAAGAAGAAGTAGATGAAGAAGAAGAGGAAGAAGAAGAATATGAAGAGGAGGAGGGGGAAGAACTGCGAACGTATACAGAATTGTGTGGAATAATATGATTTAAAGCAGCACTTGCTTGGTACTGAACGTGTTAATTCAACGTAGGTGTTAATTTAACCTATGTGATACTGTAAGACAGATGTGATGTACTTTCCCAGGTCACGCAGACCTTGGAGCATACTGGAGATCAAGGTACGACACTCCGGAATTTGAAGCAGATGTTCAAGCTTTATTTGATCAGTTGCGTCCTTTGTATGAACACTTGCATGCACATGCCAGACGTCGACTCAAGACCATATATGGAAAAGACAAGTTTCCTTCTTCAGGACACATACCTGCTCATCTCTTAGGTATAATTCAGTTAATTCTTGAAATTTCAGATTCAAGGTCAAGTATACCTTTGTTGGATGTTGTAAAGTCATTCTGTTTCAAAATTTCATCTTAAGTGTTTGAAGGATATACCTTGTCAATTGTTATGCCTTTTTCCATAATCGACTAAGGGTGTAGGCGATCCAATATTAACTTGGTACCAGGAAATGTTACTTGAAGTAATGATGATTGACATGATTTATGTTGGCTGAAACACTAACAGAAACCGTTAAGTTTCTTTCTCTACGTGACTTCCGTGTTTGGTTCTGTGATTTAGGATTATGTTTCTTACTGATTAATGGGTAGATAAAGACTCCAGTTAAAACATTTGGTTGTATCTGCCCGTTGTTTTCTTGTTGAATTTTATAGTGATAATTTGTGTTTAGTTAATTTAATTCTTGAAATCATTATGTAGAACTGATAATTGTAAGGCTGTTTAAACAAAATGTTTAAAAACAAAAGAATAGACTACAGTGTGCTTAGTTTTTATCTCATACGGCTCTGTCTGTCTGTCTGTTTGTCAGTCTCTCTCTCTTTCTCTCTCTCTCTCTCTCTCTCTTTCTCTCTCTCTCTCTCTCTCTCTTTCTCTCTCTCTCTCTCTCTCTCTCTCTCTCTCTCTCTCTCTCTCTCTCTGGGGAGTGCCTGGTTGCTTGTTAGAAAGTGACGCACAAAGCACAAGCCTTTTCACTGCAGCAACCACTTTCAGGCATCTATGAAACACAAGACCTTAAAGAGAGCTGGAATTTGATCCTACGACTTTCAGAACATGAGACAAACGGCTTAACCACCAATTAAAGAAAGCCCTTCACCCACCCCACCCCCTCCCCATACACCCACAAAGACACTCACTGGAGGCTGTAAAGATTCCTAGCTAACTCTCATAATGTCCAGTTTCATTTCTTCGGTTTTTTTTTGGTTTTTTTTCAAAGCGCTTACCATAATAACAGTATCGCAGCAGTACAGTTTTCAGCTCAATAAATAAATATGGAGTAAACCTTTAGGCGTTTTGGGCATGTAGGGCTAGACCTATATTTTATAGACCAAACGGCACTTGGTGGGTGATGTGGTCAGCATCACGCCGGCTGCCTTTAATTCTAGGACTGCACCTGGTACCCACCCAAGGCAGGGTCGACCTGCTAGCCAATGTAATTTTGTATCACTTTCAACGTAATTTTTGTTTGTTTAACTCAGATTTGAAAATGCTAGTCTTTTCAGTAGTAGTAGTTCCCCGTGTGGGTTCTGAGGCCCCATAGTGGGGAAAACAAGAATAGACCCTCTGCCTACCCAAAAGCTTTTCGTAAGAGTCGACTAATTGGGGAGCTTCCTTTGAAGTCGGAGGGCATCTGCTTGAGAGGCAAGGAACCAACAGTCTGGTTCAAGTGAATCAGATCTGTAAAACTGATGCACGCGCAACACCCAGGTTCTGGAGCAGGACTGCAGTTCAGAAGTGGACGAACAACCAGAACTTTCCACCAGTGTACAGCTGGTGAACGCGAAGAAGAAGAAGTAGTAGTAGTAGTATTAGTAGTAATTTGAAAAACAATATCCTGTTCAATCCATCCAGGTTGTAATTGGAATAGGAGTTTTTTCCTATTTCATAATAGATGTTTATGCCTATCAAATGTTTGGTTATTCAAAATTGCATAGTTTATATATTAACTGTGTAAAATTGTAGGAGTAAAGATTGCTAAGTTATATATATTTTAAGTGTGCTTTCAACCAGTAACAGTAATTATATAATGAAGTCTTTGTTTATATTTGAACTGATCTGGGATACTCTTATTCTATCTTAAGATGTATTAACACCTCATTTGCTATATCCTGTTCTTGTGATGTATTGTTTGATCCTTCCCTATTGTTCTCTAGAGCTAAAATCTTTCTATTGTTTCTTATTCTCCATTCCCTGCTGTTTGCAACTTTGATGGGTCCAAAGATTCGTTGTATGACTCTGTTTTCGAAAACCTATAATAAGGCTTTATCTCTTTTAGTTGTGCTTCAAGTTTCCGAACTATATAAAACGACTGGTCTTATCAACGTTTTATATATTTTGATCTTGGTGTTTTGAGACAGACACTTTGACTTTAGCAGATGTTAAAGGGCTTATTATACTTTATTTCCATGCTGTATTCTAGATTGTATTTCTCTCTGCATGTTGGAGCAGTTGAAATTTGCACCTAAGTACTTATATGTTTCCATTCATTTGATTTCCATATTATTGACTTGTATGTGGCCGGAGTTTAAATCCTTTCCCTGTCTATTTATTATCATGTATTCTGTCTTTTTTTGATTGCTAACTAGTCCCATTTAATTTTGTTTTAAATTTATTTAATACTAAATTTATTTTAACTACAGGAAACATGTGGGCTCAGCAGTGGTCATCTCTCGTGGATGAGTTTGTGCCATATAAAGGAAAACCATCTCTTGATGTCACTCCTGAGATGGTTCACCAGGTAAGTCAGCAAGAATACGCAGTTAATTCATCATCAATAATCAGTAGGTCTTTTACAGAACATCACTCTCTTCACGGCACTCTTGAAAGTCTCTCTTTCTCTAGCCAGTTCTCCAGCCCTATGTGCTTTCATAGCAAAGGCATCTTCAATGATTTGTATCAACCTTTGGGGAGGTCAGTCTCAGTTCATTTTCCAGAAACTGCACCGCTCTCTCCAAGCCACCATGTCATTTCACAAGGCCAAAATACCTCAGCTTTAGGGACAGGATGCTGTTTGTGAGCCAATTCTCCTCTATGTTCACATCATATAGAATATTGATGTTTGTACAATAAATTATAGATGCAGAATTGTTTCATAATGTTTAGACCTTGCATGTTTTTTATATTTCTACTATTGTTAGACATAAATTTTAATCAAATAATTAATTTTAAACAACAGGTGTAACTGGGACCACCTTCATTATGCCACCATGGCCTAGAATATGTGCAGACCTGAAACTTTTCCCAGGTTTTTCTAAACATCTTATCAGATATTCCATCATCATTTCTTGTTTTCTGTGTTCAACATAAAAAGGGCAGTTGGCACATTGTGGTTTACAGCTGGGCTGTGATATCTGCACCTTCAAGCCCCATTCATCTAATTTCCGACAAACCCTAATTAGTCAACTTTTAAAACATGCTTGTCAGGGAAGCAGTGGGCCTAATATTGTTTCTCCCAAAATTGGATCCCAGAACCCACACAGGGAAATATCCCATCTCTACCTGGGGGTTTTCTCAACTTTAGCTTAACTTACTCAAGCTCTTTCATTTGTCTTGCATTTGTCTGGGTGTTAACAGAAAAACAGAAACTGTGTACACAGAAGAGTTGAAAGGGAGTAGACCACAGGACAGAACAAGAAGACAGTGGAATGGTAATTTACAGGCAGACTTACAAACACTTGGAATCACCAACAGGAAACAGAAGACCAGTCACCGAGGTGAATGTAGGCGGATGATATCTGCAACAGTTAACCTCAAGGCTTTGAATACTGAAACAGAAATGAAAGACTATGATTTTGATTAAGATGTATTTGTCATGCTTTCAAAGACAGACTGGCTGCTATGGCTGCTCTGGTGATTTACAATGAATGTGGTGAAAGAAATAATGATCACCATAATGCAAAATATGTTGACTAAATATGTACAGTAATAAAGGGTATGGTTCCTGGAAGAATAGACAGGGGAAAACCAGCACAACAGTGGACAAAGGATATCAAGGACACTTTGAGTGTGATAGCTCATTAGGCAGCAGGTGTTGTGGCTTTCCACCTTCTGTAATTAGAGCAACATTCTGCAAAGGACCTGCTCCCTGATAATGACGATCATGGTTTGTGGTGGTGGTGGTGATGACAATGATGGTTGTGGTGATGGTGGTAGTGATGATAATGGTCAATAAATGAAATGAATTGGGCATTGATAACATTGCACTTGTGTCATTCCCACACATGCTTCATCTCATCCTCAGTAGCAAACGAAGAGTCAACATGCTGACAGTACCAGTGCAACCAGTTTAAAAGTATGCACCTGTATCCCCCTCAGTGTTCTTCCAGAACATCTACTCAATGATGATGATGTACACTTGCATTTCTTCTTCATATTATCTGTTTATGTTTACATTCACTTGTATCTATACTTCCAGAACATCTACTCAATGATGATGATGTACACTTGCATTTCTTCTTCATATTATCTGTTTATGTTTACATTCACTTGTATCTATACTTCCAGAACATCTACTCAATGATGATGATGTACACTTGCATTTCTTCTTCATATTATCTGTTTATGTTTACATTCACTTGTATCTATACTTCCAGAACATCTACTCAATGATGATAATGTACACTTGCATTTCTTCTTCATATTATCTGTTTATGTTTACATTCACTTGTATCTATACTTCCAGAACATCTACTCAATGATGATGATGTACACTTGCATTTCTTCTTCATATTATCTGTTTATGTTTACATTCACTTGTATCTATACTTCCAGAACTACACAGCAGAAAAGATCTTTCATACAGCAGACAATTTTTTCCAGTCTCTGGGCATGATCCCAATGCCTGAACCTTTCTGGAATAAATCGATGCTCAAGAAACCTACAGATGGCAGAGATGTTGTTTGCCATGCATCAGCTTGGGACTTCAGTAATGGTATTGATTTTAGGTAAGGTAAATATACAAAATTCTTCTTCTTCTTCTTCTTCTACTGCTTCTTCTTCTTCAGTCTTAAAATGGCAGTTATTACATTGTCTGGTGGTTTACAGCTAGGCAACAATGTCTGCACTTCATGGCTCAACACTTCAAATTTCAGCAAAACCCTAATTAACTCTTTGAGTCCAAGGGGGTTTAGCATCACAGGCCCAAGGGGTAGTAAAGAGAGACATAAAATCGGTGCATCATACATTCATTGGGCTTCTAGGTAGAAACCTATGAACGTATGATGCGTTCCTTGGGACTCAAAGATTTAATCACCTTTTATTATGACATTCTTGTTATGGAGTGGTGAGTTTTCTTTTTCCCCATAAATGAGGCTATGAACACTTGGTGATGCCCCTTGACTAAGGGTTAACAACAGATATTCTGCTTGATGATGGCAGAAATAGAATCTTCTGGGGGTCAGTGAGCCTATTCTTTTGTGTTACACCTAAAATGTAGCCTTTGGCTCCCTGGTGGACACAGCCTCAAATGTGTACAATCCTGGGAAGTAAAAGCATCTTGCCTTATGTTGACCATGTCATTAACCATGTGCTGATTGACTGGTCTATAAAATATAGGTCTAGCCCTATAATAGCTGAATGATTAATTAATTGATTGATTGGCACCTTTCCGCCGTTCCATATGATAGTGTTATACAATGTGCTATGAGGAGGCATGGGACTCCCAGCCCATGGTGATGGCGAGTGTGACTAGCAAGACCCACCCATGTCAAAAAAAGTCTTCCATACTGATAGCATGGGATTTCAGGACCATTGTTGTCAACATTTGTGTTTAATCTGTTTGTTTTCAGATGCTCAGCTCTCATCCTTTTTGCAGTCATTTCTTCCTTCACTCTTATTTCCTTCCTGGCCCTTTCCACCCAACACGGTCCATGGCATTTTGTTCATATGAGTCTACCTCAATACCTCAATACCTCAATACAGTACACCTGAAGGCATGGAAAAGAAGCCTTTACTTTTTTAAACCTGGTACCTTCTTGAAGAATAAAGTAAAAGTATATGCTGCAAAATGCTATGGATGATGGAGAAGAGCTCACACATTGCTTGGGACTGAAAAAGTTAGGGGGGGGGGGGGGGAGATGAGGCTTCATTACAAAGATACGAAAGGACATATTAGCAGGTGTGGCAGAATTAAACTCAACTGGTATGAGTCTTTAGACAAAAATCAGTATAGTCATTCTATCCTGCCTTCTACTGCATGACAAGTTAGGGGGGGGGAGAGAACCTGAGCAAACACTAGGCCTGTAGGGCAGCCTGCTAGCAACTGTGCTACCATGGTTCCCACCCAATGCCAGTTTATGCCTAAAGATACATCTACTTACATGTTTAACTATTGTTTCTGTGTCCAGAGTAAAACAATGCACAGACATCACCCAGGATCATCTGGAGACAGCTCACCATGAAATGGGGCACATTGAATATTATCTTCAATACAAAGAACAGCCCTTAGTATTTCAAGAAGGCGCAAATCCTGGTCTGTGCTTGGGCAATATAATTCCCTATAAACTCATATACATCCTGCTTGTTCAAATTTGCTGCTGTATTCTCCTAAATAACAAAAGCTTCAAAATAAAATATTAATTCTTTCAGTCCTAAATGTTGTGCAGCAATTGCCCATTTAGGGAAATTTCCATGATTAAAAATCTCAAGGGCATGACTTGTAAGGAGGTCAAGTTAACAGTCAATTGGTCACTGGTGGAGCCAGATTTTTTGTTGTCATTCCCCATAACAACCAACAACAACAAAAACACACACACACACAGATTTAATGAAATTTATGGGGAAAAGATTGTTATACATCATATATAATTAGGACTGAAAGAGTTTAATTAACCAAAATGGTGGAGAACATGAACTAACATTTATATTATTTATTGCTGTAAATTTGTATTTTAAACAATTTCATTGCTATTTTCTGACTCAGTCCTGCATTTCGCCCATCATGTATTTAATTTGTATCACCCTGTGTAACCTAAACAGTACTGATGCAAATTTTTTAAAAGTGAGGTGCAGGTAGGGGGTTTGTCCTTCTCAGTCCCAATTCTAGAATAGATATGATGTAGAAAATTACTACATAACTTTCATTCCAGTGTCTTCTATAATAAAATGTTGAAAAGACATTCATAACAGTTGTGTAAGAGACAAAAATACATTAAAGCAGTGTTTTCCAAACTTTTCTTAGTCCCGATGCTTTTTTTCAATAAAAAATTTTCCACTGCGGCCTAACCTAAGTAAAAGTATGACTATCCATATGAAAGTGAAAAAAAATGTTTATCCTGTATCTTCTAATATTTTATGGCGCCAAAGTGAAGAGGTCATTGCTCCTCGGAGCCCCGCAGCGCACAGTTTGGGAATCACTGAATTAAAGCAAAATATAGTACAGAAACCCTAGGACAACACTGAAGGCCAGGTGTGTTTCAGAGACTAATATATTAAAATGATTGTTATTCTCTCTGTAAAGGGATAAAGTAACGTATGTATCAAACCATTTTAATTACATGTGGCAGAAAGTTGTGGATCCACATGATTACCAAGTCAGGCAACATAAGCTATTTTAAACAAATATTTGAAATGCAAAGAACTTCTCTGTTTATCACATTCCACCTGGGCAATCAGTGTCCTCTGCAATCATCAGTTTGCAGTGTACTTGATAAATTCAGTTGCTTCTATCTATGTCTTTTTAGCTATAGCTACTCTGTTATTGCATTCAACATTAACTGCTTTTTTTTTTTTCTGTCTCTCTCAACTGCCGAAGTTTATCTTATGCTTGGCGTTCAAGCTTGATGTTCTTGGAATGCAAGTACAATCGAGTCTGGATAAGTAGAAGTCGCAGGGACCTAAGAAAATGTTTCCACTTATCAAGACCTCTACTTATCCAGACAAAACACACAATAGAGAAAATTGCCGGGACTAAGCTGATCATGTCGACCTAACCGAAATTAGACTTATTCAAGTTCGACTTATGTGGACTCGACTGTATTCACCTTTTTCTGATAAATGTAAATTACGGGTAACTTCCGTGTGCCTCTATCTCAACTCCTATGGTTCATATAAGCTAGGGGGTTAAACCTTGATGGTGATGTGATGAAAATTTGCAACATTTGCCCTTTTATCTGAACTTCTATAGAATCAGCCTTGGTGTAAGTGGGATATAGAAGTTCAGCATAAAATGACAGTGTTATTAATCCCATTTCATAAACTGTCCTGATAAAATACTCATTGTTAGGAAGATAAAGGTATACTAAATCAACTTGGATGCAGTATAATCAAGGCAATATATTTAGCTCTTGAAGTCAAGTGTAGGCTCAACCTGTGGTGATAGTATTAATTAGGAACAAAAAAAGATGGTATGAATCTGGTCTGGGGTAGGATGATAGACACAGGGAAAGTCAGTAATAAGGGTTTTTTTTTAAAAATAGTATATGTGAAGTTAAACTATTTAAAATTCCTATTATATCTGACACTGAATTACCTTTTACCTTGAGCAGAGCCTAATGTTTTGATCAGATTCTTTAACAGCAGACAATACAGCACTTTTGGCTCTACTCCTTGAAGAAGATTCAAACAAATGACATGTGGGCCTGCAGCGAAGCCTGCTAGTCACAGTGCTAGCAAATGTTTCCAATGTCAGTTTATGCCTAGAGATACATTAACCGACATGTTTAACTATTGTGTCTGTGTCCAGAATAAAACAGTGCACTGACATCACCCAGCAACATCTTGAGACAGCACACCATGAAATGGGACATATTGAATATTATCTTCAATACAAAGACCAACCTTTAGTATTTCAAAAAGGCGCAAATCCTGGTCTGTGGTTTGCCTCCTTGCATGGACAGTTTAACTCCATATAAAGTCATATATCTCCTGCTTGTTCAACTTTGCTGCTGTATTCCTTTATACCCAGTATAACAAAAACTTTGAGATGATTTATGAATTCTTTGAATCCCAGATGTTTTGTTTGACAGTTGCCAAACTGGGAAAATAGTCACGGTGAGAAATCCAATCTGTGTGACTTTTAAAGAGGCAAAGTAATTTTTTTTTAATGGCCACTCATGGAGCCACATTTCTTTAGCATGCTCTGTTAAAAACAAACTACGGAATGTATAGGAAAGAACTAGTCACACATTACATATCGCCTGGGATTGAAAGAGTTTAAAAAACTAATGTTAAGCTGGTGGAGGATTTGAAATTATGTTTTAATTTGTTATTACTTTTCATCTATAATTTATACAATTTCATAACTGTCATTAGCAGTTGTACAGTATCAGTTAGTTTTGAAAAAAAAAATTGTAAATATAGTTTATGTGTATGTATGTGACATCATATCTTGAGAAGAACACTTTATTAGAATTGTATTTCTGACTTCTGATTTCCAGAATCAAAAGTTGTGCAGAAGTTACACACAACGACTTGTTAATTATTCATCATGAAATGGGACACATACAGTATTACTTGCAGTACCGGAAACTTCCAATCACATTTCAGCGGGGAGCTAACCCTGGTTCGAAATTTACAAGGCATGTGCTTGCTTAGCTGCATGAGAATACATGAGTACATTCTTCATTGACCACTTGCCTGCATTTTGCATGATATAAAATGTTTAGATATCAGCTATGAAAAGACACATTTGAAGAAGACATGGTTATCACAATAAATGAATCTAATGCTGCAGATTCACACATACAGAAAAGAATAAATATAACACAGTTTACCTATTTAAATAGTAATCTGTCTGCCAAAGAAATGAAAAAAAAATTACTATAAAATACAATGACAATTATAGCTTTTTAAAGCTTCAACAAAATATATAACTTTTAGCATTCACAGGTTGTAAACTTCTACAGCAAACCCTTGGTGTTCATCCATTTGTGACTTAGTCTGGTTTCAGAAACTTGAGTTTTGTATGTAAATCTGTTGTACAGATCTGGTTTTACTTCTATGCAGACTGTTGGTTCCTCGTATCTCAGGAAGACACACTCTGACTATGAAGGAAACATGCCTGATTAGTGACCTTTTATGCATGATTGTTAGGGGAAGTGGGTCTGTTCACTGTTTTCTAATGATATGCTAGCTTTGAACAAAGATGACAGAAACAATAAAATGCACGGTTTGTTTGCTTAGAAATTTTTAAAACTTACATCAGCAAAACAAAACAAGCAAATTAATGTATTTGTTGAATAAATATACAAACACAACCATACTCAACATTATTTACTGGAGTTTTTAAAATATGAACACCAAAAGACACCAGTAATTCTGTATACAGCCCAGTGCAATAAGGCTACACAGAAAACATTTAATAGAGAATAGATAGCCCCATGGAACTAACTACAGAAAAAGATTATATGATCCATCACAAGAACAAATGTTTTCATATAAGGAATCTAAATTGCAGTTTTGAGATATGAGCAATCAGGAATAAAACAGTTTTCTGAAATATAAGGTATATCAAGGAATAACAATAAACATCAGAAAGTTTGAAAGAATAGGCTCAATATGCCCCGGTCATAACCCAGAAGTGTTTAACAGGATGTTAATAATATAGTACTAGACCTACTATATATCACACTCAAGAATATATTCATGTGTTAACAGGGTAATCATTTATTTGCTTTAATTTATTCAGTTCTGTAGCATTCTCTTCATTAGATACAGCAAAATATAGCCAGGCATTAAACAGTGGTAAGTTTTGACAAGAATAGGGGTGATTGCAGCCAAGCATCTAGCAAGAAATAAATTAACCCAATACCAACTATGACCAGAAAACTCAGTGAAGGAAAAAAAAAGAGACATAATATTTGGGTGATGCAGCCAATGCATTTAGTTGTATGTATACACTTTGTTTCCTTTTCCTGTATTGAACCTTAAGAGTCAAAGTATATGTTGTGTTAATTTACTTTTTTAGAAACTGTGCGGTCTATTTGTATCTTTTTATTTTATAATGGAACACATGTATTTCGTCTTCTTCTTTTTCTTCTTCTTCTTCATTCGCTCCCAAAAGGGCATGTTATACTGTAGCTTACAGATAGGCTGTGATATCTGTTTCTCTTGGCCCAACAGGATCTCAGCGAATCCTTTATTAGTCACCCTTTTACAACATGCATGTTAGAGAGCAATAAGTCTGTTCTTTCTCCCCACAAAAATGGGGCCATGAAATCAGCACAGAGAAATGTTTATTTCATGATGTCAGCTTTTATTCATATAATTACTGTTATGGTCCCTGTGTGCTTTGTTTGCTGACATGTGATAGAATTTAAAATTACAGGTTAATCAGAAGCATGTGAGTTTCAAATTATTGTTACCAATCAGAAGTTTTTAAGCAAGTATATTAGGAATAAATTTTCTGTTTGTAAAATTCAGTAAAGAACATACTTTTTTTTTTTAATGTCCTGGGTGCATCTGGCATATGGTTTAAACACTTTTTAAAATTTACATCAATCAGTTCTCAGTGGGTGCTAGTTGTAGTAAGAATAGTAGTATCTTCTTCTTCCCATTCATCATCTGTAAATTCCAGCGAAAAAATTCTGGTTGTTCTTCCACTTTTAGACTCCAGTCCTTTCTAGAAATTGAGTGTTGCATGTATATCCATTTCACAGGTCTGAGTTATTTGCATGCAGACTGTTGGTTCCTTGCCTCTCAGGCAAATGTACTCCAACTTCAAAGGAAGCTTCCAGTTAGTCGACTCTTACGGCATGCTTTTGGGCAGGCAGTATGTCTATTTTTGTTTTCACCACGATGGGGCTCTGGAACCCACACAGGATGATAGTAGTATAAGTAGTAGTGGCAGCAATAGTAGCAGTAGCAGTAGTAGGAATTAATATATTAAGTTGTTTAAACTACTCTTGTTTTTATTCATATTACACCATGAAAATGTGAGGTGCCTGTACTCTCACTAGCAAAGACCCTAGCATATATTTAACAGACTCTATATTTAGTGTAAATTTCCAGTGTTTGTGGTTTTAGGAATTTTGCCAGATAAACAGCCATTGAGTCCACTCTTTACCATTTCTATCTGTCAAATAATTTTTAACTTGAAAAACATATTCACTAAAACTTGCATATATTTTACTTATTCAAGAATATAATTATACATTAAATTAGTAATTGAGTTTCCTTTTAATATTGACACAGATTGTTTGCAAACATGATTTTGTAAAACAACTAGTGTATGAAATCAATTAGTCAAAATCAAAATGGTTGATTATATAAATAAATAAATATAAAATGTTTCATAGTAGAGTTATGTGAAATCATATACAGTGTGTAGGTAGGTCATGATAAAATTGTATGTATTGAGTTGTTATTTCTGAAACCATCACAGCTTAACAGAGGTTTAAATACTAAATCCAGTAATACCTCAGTGAAGCATGTAAGTCAATTCTAGATAAAGAAAGTCACTGTTTAGTTAACTGTTTTGTTTTTAAACGAATCCCTTAGCAACCAAATGTCAATGCAATCGGCCTAGAGGCTTAACTGTATACAGTATTTTGGACCTGTTTATGTTTCCAGGCCCAGGATTAGAGTAACTTCCCTTGCCATTCATGCCTCCTTAGGTCGCTGGACCTCTCCTATGTAGCAGGGTTGTTATGATATAGCTTGGTTTGGTGTTTGCCTTGTGTATGTAATTTTTGTGAGAGGTTGTGTTGTTGTGGGTCTATTTCAGGTGCCACAGGCGCCTGTTTACAAGTAATGACTGCTGCAGGGGGAAACGCCACAAGCCTGAGGATTATTGGCTTGTGAAACTGGGATGTTTTTGTATTTTTACATTCGTTGGTGGTGGCTTTACCCTGAGAGAAAGAAAGCAGGTACAAGGAGATTAGGAATAGAAAAATACTGCTGTTTCCATACTCTCAAACCATCGTGCAGTTAACAGAATGTAAGAATAATCACGCAAGTGAGTGGTGAGAGCACAAGAAAAGAGTCAGTGGTCACACCATTCACAAAAAGGAAAGCATGACTCCCTGCAACACAGGTCAGGTCCAGCGACCTAAGGAGGCATGAATGGCAAGAGAAGTTACTCTAATCCTGGGCCTGGAAATGTGAACAGCACATTTAATTCATAATTCAACACTCACAAAATCTAATTTGCATATGACTATAGATATTTCACAATGCCTAACTGCGATTAACTCTAAATGAAATCCAATCATATTTCATCCATACAATGTTGCATTTCATGGTATTCAGCTTTCACTAGGTGTTGTTATTGTTTCAATATTTTTCAACAACTTTTTGCACTGTGTATTTCTTTGCCTTACCTTCTATCATACTATAACTTTTTCACATTATTTTCAATTTTCTCTGGTCTGAAGCATGACTCTCTAACCAATTTTTTTTAAGTTTGTGTGTGTTTGTGTGTTTTACATAGGTTAAATTTTAATAATGTCCAAGTCTGACACTGGTAGCATAGTGTTGGTATAAATATGCTGTTTATAATCTGTTTCCTTGAGCTTATACTTATGTTTGGATCTTGGCTTTCCATTACTGGCCTCAAATATTAATTCTTCGGTCTAAAGAATTATATACTATTTAAATTTTGTTTCACAAAATCTTTATAATGTAGAGTGTCCTAAGAATATAAAATTGCACAACCATCGGACAGTAGGAGTCTAAATTCAACCAGTGGATATAATAAGTAATCATAACAAAGGAATGGAACAGAAAAATTTGTAAATATGGACCATATATAGAGTAAGCTATAAATGTATGAAGAGTTTGTCGGTACTGAAAAAGTGAATATATTTTATCAGTAAGAAATAAATACTTCTGCCATTTATTGTATAGAAAAAAAATTATAATACACATGCTGGTATCTGAAATGAAGAAAACTTCTGTGCTTTGTTAATATCCTACTATAGATAAAGTCACAGGACAGTCCAACTTTTAGAGGGTAGTAAGACTGGGTTTCCTAGATTTCTGGTGCTTTAAACGACCCCAAAATGTCAAGAACTGGCCCTAACCCCAACCTACCTACGTCACACGAGAGAGTGCAGCCTAGGTCCCTTGAATGCATGCAGCCTAGATCCCAAGATTGTATGCAGCCTATCTACTACCCCTGAAATATATGTCTGTCCCGTGACCTGTGGATTTCCTGTGTTTTGGGGTATGATATTAATAAAGCACCAAAACTTTTTATGCAGTATCAAATACATTAGTATGCAATATGATCAACTATACCCCCGTGTGGGTTCCGGGGCCCCATTGTGGGGAAAACAAGAATAGACCCACTGCCTCCCCAAAAGCATGTCATAAGAGTCGACTAATTGGGGAGCTTCCTTTGAAGTCGGAGTGCATCTGCCGGAGAGGCAAGGAAACAATAGTCTGTATTCAAGAGAATGAGATCTGTAAAACTGATGCACACGCAACACTCAGGTTCTGGAGCAGGACTGCAGTTCAGTAGTGGACAAGCAACCAGAACTTTCTGCCAGAGTGTACAGCTGGTGAACGCGAAGAAGAAGAAGAAGATCAACTATAGCTATAGTCCCGGGAAAGTAAAGGCGGCTGGCGTGATGTTGACCACATAACCCATCTTGTGCCGATGGTCTATGAAAATATAGGTCTAGCCCTATATGCCCTATACGCTTAAAGGCGTGGAAAAGGGTCCTTTACTTTTACGTTTTATAGCTATGATAAGTTTTTGCATCTAAAATTCTAGTACCATTTGCATAGAGTCCACATTAATCCTGGAGCTATGTCAGAAAATTATTATTTTCCTTAATTTGTGATGAAACTCAGACCTATTGTCTGGTGGTACTTTTCCATCTTTCCATTATAATGTTATATTGTGCTACAGAGAGACATGAGAATCATAGCCCATGGCAATGACGAGTGCAACTAGCAAGACCCACTGGCATTACCTCTTTTAGTTTATTAGCAAATGACTAACCATACATTTCTTTTCCAAGGTATTATAGTGTTCATGCTGTCTTCTCTTAGAAACACTTGTTATAATAACCCGTTGTGTCAAAATTATTAGTTCAACTTCTTATGTGCCACTGTGACATCCCAGGTTATGGGCCACATTGGATGAAGCACATGACCAGAGATCGCTAAAGAAGATGTCCCACTGTGTTAGTTCTACTATTCCAAGCTTAAGTATTAACTGCTGTTAAGCTAAACTCCTTCCTTAAATAACAACTGCTTGGAACTGACCTTTCTGCAGTCATTTAGGGAACTCAGATAACAGTACCACAGTCATTGAATTACCCACTGTTCTACCATAATTCTTTTATCCACAGTAACTACTGCTAGAATACTCCAGTAACCATATATTTCATCTGCTTCCCCTTGATCTCAGGATTCCATGAAGCTGTTGGAGATGTGATAGCCCTGTCTGTCCAGACTCCAGAGCACATGAAATCTATAGGGCTGCTGCATTCAGTTTCAAACGATACAGGTGAGTAAACCAAATGCTAGATTTTAGAAAACTCTTCAATCATTTTCTTATTCTTTTCATTCCCTTAAAATCGCCCTTCTCTGCAAATTTTCAGATGCAAGAAGTATACTATCTTCTTCAGATCCTGCAGGCTACCACACAGTTTGACAGCTTGGGTTGTTTCATAATGGTGCATTACAGACCTTTCTGAACCAAATTTGTCACTGTATCTTCGTTACGTTAAGGGGCCTTCCCGTATGTACATGTTGCATTAGAATCTATATTTATCTTTGTATATATATGGGTGTTAAACCTTCAGTCTGTTGTGTCTCTCTGTACGCATAGCTTTAGAATCTATCTTTATCTTTGTATGCATGTGGGTATTGCACCTTCAGTGAAGTGGTGGTGTATCTGCTAGACACTTGCTTTTTAGACCAAAGGTCAAGGATTGGAATCCACACCATTAGTTGGAAATGAAGAAATGTAAAATAGCATGGGATTCCATAGGCAGAAAGTGTGTGACCTGGGACTTGAGCTTGGTGAAGCATGTCTTACTATCTTCGAGGTCAAGACAAGATATAATATAACCAGCTTCTCATGGGAGCAATCAGTAGAGGTACCTTGGTTTGGCTGCTGCATTGGAGCCCTTAACACTCAAGAGGTTGCCAATTGTGCAAAGATGTCAAAGGTGATAACATCATTGGCAGCATTAGAGGTCACCTGTGAGTGCCTTATGTGTCAAAGCGACACAATGAGGATATACATAATATAGATGATTATCATAAACGAATAGCCTCAGAAATGTATGCATTTTCTGCCTACATAAAACTCTCGTCTGTTACATATCAATATTTTCATATGCTACTCATTATCTCTTTATATACAGAAACAGACATAAATTTTCTGATGAGCATGGCCCTTCAGAAGATAGCCTTTCTTCCATTTGGCTTCCTGATTGATCAATGGCGATGGAGAGTCTTCAGTGGTGACACAAAACCTGAGCAGTACAATGAACATTGGTGGAATCTGAGGTGAGTTTTAGAGTTCAGAAGATCAACTAGGGGGCTGCGTGGTCTCGAGGCATATTGTCCGCCTCGAGTGCTAGAGGTTCTGGGTTCAGTCCCTGGTAAACGCTGGGATTTTTTCATGTGGACTTGGACTTCTAGTAATTCCCCCTGGTCTCTGGGTAGTGAGATCGGACGCCCCTGTGCATTGCTGCGCATGTTAAAAAAATCCCTTGGCAATTGGAAATCGAAAGGAGTAGCCTAACGGTGCTGCCCGGGAAAAATGTGGAGTTAAAAATCTACCCAAAGTATTTCAGGATCCTTGCTGGTGCTACAGAACCTGTACACTGTACTGAGCTTCTTCGGACTCAGTCTTGAGTTAGAAGAGGAATGAAACACTCATGGCTTACTACCCCTGTGCGATGATGTTGATCCGTTGTTCAAACCTCAAACTCAACTTTATAGCACTGGATACCCATATTGTAGTCTCTGTAAAGCAGCTAATCGCCCATTGAGTTTCACTATGCGCCGATTCTGTAGCTTCAATGGTGATCCCCAAGGATCTTCATAAAAATTGCAGTCGTTAACTGGGTGACATACATAACTAAGTCCTTACGACCTTCTCAGGACGTAATTTTTTGTTATTTGAAGCCCCACTCTGGCTTTTGCCAGGGGCCGCAATATAGGCAGGCCATAAAAATGGCCAAATGTCTGAACGCGGTTTCTGGGACCTCTCCACGGTGATCCTCATCCACATGGTGGCACATTGTGTCATCAGGTGTTTATCGCTTGTGTGATGTCCTAGTGGGGTAGAAAGTCACTCACTCACTCACTCACTGAGTGACATGGGGAGGGAAACAAACCGACAACATTCTTAGTACAAGATCTTATTCATAGGAACCCTCTGCAGTAAGGAATGTGTGAAGTCTGAGGTATGCAGATGTTGGATTTTAATTAATTATATGTGAGACAAGGGTGAGAATACAGTGGAGAGTGAACTGTAGATTAAAGAGGATATAACTGCTCCATTCCTGTACCAGGGGAAATCACTCACAGTGTTATTCACTGTCCGGTTTGAGAAACCAGCTAGAAGCACATCAGTCCTAGCAAAATCTTTAAGCTTGCACATGCAAAGTAAATGCAAAAGACAGTCGTCAGATGTGCCAACACTAAGTTTCCAACCAGAATTGCAACCTACCTCTGATGCAAGCAGTCAGTCACGAAGGCCGACATTTGTACACGTAATACTACATAAATATATGCTATTCTGAACATAATAAACCACTTGCTATTTTTAGTGCAGTTCACAATACAAAACTGTTTTAGACACAACAGGAAAAAAGAACATTCCAAACGAAATCTACAGATCACAGTGTTTCACCAAGCAATCAACTCAATAGCTGGATGACGGAACCATAACAATATGTATGATATCTGTCAATTAATATTTTTTTTGGATTTCAAATGCACTAGTAAATCAGAATTCAAACATGATGCATTCAGAGACAGTGTTCAAATTTCAAACCACTTGAGTTCCAAGGCAATTTTCCCAATGACAATAATATAAATTAATCTGTTTCAATGTCCAACAAATTAAAAAATGTAATATATATAAAATATTGTATTTACCATGAATCTTTTTGGTGTTTCATATCGCAGTCTTCCACCACTTGTAGAGGTGACTAGTTTTTGTTGAGAGCCAGTGTTTCAAAATGCTCTGATGTTGGTGACTATTTTTTATTTTCTAAAACATTCGATAATATTATCATTGAATAAGTTAACACACCTGTCAACTAGGGCTCTTTAAGCGTGCCCCCTTTAAACAACTTCTTCGGTTTTCAACAACACGGTCAAGAATTCTTGTATTTCAGCCGTGTTAATCCTTTCAGCTTTCTCCCCTCTAAGAAATTACTTATGCAGTTTATTCCTACTGCTGCTGGTGAGGATTCTGAAGCTCTTGCGCTGTCAGGTGGCAAAATTTGCTTGTAAATTGCAGTTAGATTTCAAGTTGATCAATTTTAAAGTTCTCAAAATTTTTAAGTATCTCTGTAGTAAAGTATCTGCCAAGCATTGTAACATTTTTGTTGTGATTGTTGACCGAGTAAAAAATGAGTCCACAAATGGTCTTGGGAGGTAATGGCAGATTAAATCTTTGTCTCCAACTGAGTTTCTATTGAAAGTAAAAAGTAAAGAACCCATTTCCCCGCCTTTAGGTGTATAGGGCATATAGGGCTAGACCTATATTTTATAGACCAATCGACACAAGATGGGGGATGTGGTCAGCATCACGCCGGCCACTTAACTTCCCGGGACTGCACCCGGTACCCACTCAAGGCTGGGTTGACCTGGGAGCCAAAGGTCATTTTTGAAAAAAAGTCCGGCTCCTCAAAGGGAACGAACCCACGACCTTCCGATCCGCAGCAAGCGTCTAGCCACTCTACCATGGCGACTCCCAAAAATGTACCCCACCAGGACATCACACAGGGTTATAAACACCCAGTGTCACAAAGAGGCACCATGCAGATGAGTATCACCCGTGGAGAGGTCCCTGAAACCCCGTTGAGTCTCTATTGGTCTGCAAAAAATTGTTAGTCTATCAGTAAATGACTGTTACATCATTGTCAAGAAAAGGGTCTTTTACTAAATGTTTCTGTTTCAACAATATTCACTACAGGTGCAGATATCAGGGTGTTTCTGCTCCTGTTGAGAGATCAGCTTCAGATTTTGACCCAGGTGCAAAATTTCACATCCCAGCAAATACCCCGTACATTAGGTATGATCATCATCACCATCATCATGCTGTGCCATTATATGTCACATAGGGCTTGTAATCCTGTCCTCATTTACGCTCTATCCTGTGCAGTCCTGTGCATATCATGGATGGAATCCAGTCTAATGCCATTGGCCTCTCTCAGCAACGTTTACCTTAAGGTTTCTACTGGACATACTCATTTCCTAGATCTATTTGTTTCCCATTCGGTGACTTTTCAGTAAATTCTTTGTCCATTTCTCCTCATGATGTGCCAAATATATTGCCATCTTCTTTGTCTTATAATTGATTATGTCCAGCCATTTTTCTTATTTCTTCATGTTTGTTCAATACATCTAATTTAATGTTCACCAACTTCCTTAGACATTTGTTTATAAGGTAAGGTAGGACATTCACATCTGAACATACTATCACGATTCTTCCGTTCACAAGTGTTAGTTAGCAAGTTAGTTAGTTAGTTAGTTGGTTGATTGGTTGGTTGGCTGGTTGATTGATTTGTTAGTTGGTTTGTTGGTTGGCTAGCAAACTGTTAGCTATCTAGTTAATTAGTTTGTTAATTGACAGAGTATCCTATTGCAAATCAAATCATTCATTCCACATATGTGTATAAGTATGTGTGTGTGTATGTATGTGTACACATATATACATGATGGTACTCACCACAAAGTGTCTATTACAGTAGCATTGACACAAAAATTATGTCTGGAAATAAAGGGTGCCAGTAATGAGTACCACTGACTGACTGTTAACCCCACTAGGACATCATACTGAGCGATAAACACCCGGTGACACAAAGATAATCCTTGAAGAGGTTCCAGAAACCCAATTGAACGGTTAGGTTACTTTAGAGCCAGGGTAGGGCTTCCAAATAACGAAAAATGTATCCCACATGGAGACGGGGATAACTAACGTCGTGTGTACCATTTGGGGAAAAGCCCTGGGTTAAAGACAGAAGGATAAAGAACCTATTATCACATTTAAAACATATTTGGGATATGGACTTTATCCTATATAGTCATAGGCCTGTTGGTAATCAATAGATGATGAAAATATCCAGCTTCCAATGTTTACTTTCTGAGAGATTTCCTAGTGGCCAATTTATGCTGGGTTGAAGTAGGAACTAATGTCAATTTTTAAATATTATCACTTCAGTGAGGATTCTAATTTTTTTCTTCTTTTTCTTCTTCACGTTCACAGGCTGGCTGTAAACTCCAGCAGAAAGTTCTAGTTCTTCATCCACCTCTATAATGTAGTCTCATTCCAGAACCTGACTGTTGCATGCACATCTGTCTTACAGACCTGACTTATGTGTAAACAAAGGGTTGGTTTCTTGTCTCTCAGGCAGATGCATTCTGACTTTAATAATGAACGCCCCCCCCCCCCTTTTCCCAAATAGTCTAATCTTACAACAAGCTTATTGGGGTGGTAGTGGATCTATTCTTGTTTTCCCCACGATGGGACCCCCAAATCCACATAGGAGTTTCTAGTATACTTTTACCAGGGCATCAGGCAAACCAAGTTAGCCACTATATTACTACTTTTTCCTGAAGGAAAACATGAGAAGCAATGATAAATCCTACTCCATGCATGTTTTTATTTCTGATTTACAGTTAGACCTTTTTACCACAAATTCCAAAAAACTGAAACATCATCATATTTAAAAATGTATGCTAACTAGGGACTTACAGTTGTAAAGTAAAGGACCCTTTTCCATGTCATTAGGTGTATTGGGCAAAAATGGCTCCAACTTACTGATGTATTATGAGTATTAAACTGCTGGGACCACAGCTTCATGTTAACCAAGTGTTCATCTTAAGCCAGTTCATGCTATTGAGGTTTCACTGTATTATCTAAAAGCAGTTTCCTAATCATTTTGTTTTGTGTGCAGATATTTTGTCAGCTTTGTGATACAGTTTCAATTCCACAAGGCACTTTGTGACAAGTCAGGGTACATTGGCCCACTTCATAGGTGTGATATTTACAACAGTACCGAAGCTGGCACAGCCTTAAGGTATGTACTGGTCTTTGAGTTACATTTTCAACATCATCGTGTGCCATTTAGAGGAACAGATTTAGATCTGATGCGGTACTAAGCTCTCGCTACGGGATGGCCTGGAATAAGGTGTCCAGGGCTTGCTCCACGCCTGTCGGCCTATGTTGGGATGTCCGGGGTTTGCTCCGCTCTCGTCACGGGTCAGCCTGGATTGAGGTGTCTGTGGCTTCTTTCGATCTTGCACAAATCGGCCTGGGGTGAGGTGTTCGGGTCTTGTCCTGGTCTCGCCACAAGTCAGCCTGGGATGAGGTTTCCAGGCTTGACCTGAGCACGTCACGTCAGCCTGCGATGAGGTGTCTGGGGCTTGCTCCACTCTCGCCATGAGTCAGCCTGGTATGAGGTGTCCGGGTTTGCTTCACTCTCACGATGGTTAGGCTTAGGATGAGATGCCCAGGGCTTGCTTCGCTCTCGTCACAAGTCGGCCTGTTTTGAGGTGTCTGTGGTTTGCTCCGCTCTCGTCACGAGTAATTCTGGGTTAAGGTGTCTGGGACTTGTTTCGATCTCAGCACGCGTTAGCCTGGGATGAGGTACCAGGGCTTACTCCGCTTTTGTCACGAGTCAGCCTGGGATGAGGTTTTCTGGCTTGCCCTGAGCACGTCACGTCAGCCTGCGATAAGGTGTCTGGGGCTTTCTCTGCTCTTGTAACGGGTCCACCTGGGATAAGGTGTCCAGGTTTGCTCATAACCCGTCACAGGTAGACCTAGGATGAGGTTCTGTTTGCTTGTTTCCATCTCGGCATGGGTTGGTCTGCTCTGCGCTTGTTAAGAGTCGGCATGTGATGGGGTGTCTGGGGCTTGCTCCGCTGTCGTCAATGGTCGGCCTCAAATACTGTGTTGGAGCATTCCAGGCTCTCATTACATGTCAGCCTCTGATGAGTGAGGTAAACAAAACAAAAATGGCTGCCAGATACTCTCTGAACATTCTAGGACACTTCAGGACTTCCATATTTGACTGTTTCTATTTCCACTAGGGGCTCTCTGTGATAAAAAGTGGCAGCAGCAGACTGCTAGCTAATGCAGAGAGAGACTGAGACCCATATGGGATAAAACCTAGTGCAATGAAGTTCGTTTTCTCACCTTTACCTTTACCTTTGTTTCCACTACATACCACCTTTTCTTCTGAATATCCTTGTAATTATTTTTTTTTTCAGCGAGATGTTGAAACTTGGTTCTTCAAAGCCTTGGACTGACGAAATGCAAAATCTGACAGGTCAGGCCAAGATGGATGCACAGCCACTTATGGATTACTTCAAGCCCCTGCTGGAATATTTACGCAAGGAAAATGGAAATGATTACGGCTGGGATCCAATATGTCCAGACTTGACACCAACTTCATCTGGAAGGAATCACGGCAGCAAGGTTTCTAGCCCACTGACAACTCTTTTGATATCTGTTTATGTTTTTTTTGTTTGTGTATTCAAGTTATAAGCTGAAAAATATTCTGTGATAAATTACTGTGCTGTTACTAACACTTTTTTCTTTTCTTAGAAGTGTTTTTTTTTTTTTTTAAATTAATTGTTTAACTAGATCTTTAACATATCTTTAATCACAATGACGCTGCATTGATAATGTAATGCCATTTAGGTTTTAATTATAAATATTTATTTACATAAATAATACAGAAAGACGTGTCTTACATTTGTATAGCTAGTTCTTGCCTCTTCCATGAACTGAGGTATGTGGTTAAAGATTGCAGATTGTAGAGAGACATGATCATCCACACCACACGGCAAGGAACTTGATGATGACGATAGTTTCAGTGAATCTGGCCGGATAAATCACGGCTATTCAACTTCCGGTCCATGGAGGTCTAGCAGTTGGTCCTCGCATCAATGCCAGTTGTAATAAGGATCTTTCTTTGCTTGGGCACAGACCTCTGGCCAGTGACGATCTCCATTTATTTCCAAATGTTGGCCCCTGAGTAAAATTACTTGATCAGCCCTGATGTAAATGATGGATTAAAGTAACAAGATAGTCCCTACATCCGTATTGTGTTCTAGGGCCCTGTTTTGAAAGAAGGGGAAACAACAGATCCCCTGTCCTTTAGCAAGCATGTCATTAAAAGATGACGTAATAAATATTTGTTGAAACTAGAAACTAGATGTGTTCGGCCTGAAAGCCGCAGATGTCCCAGCATCTATCTAAACTGCAATGCTTCATGCCTATGACCATTTTGAGGATGAACACAGAAAACGATGAAGAAGAAACAGACAGTCCTTGAGAATAAGCACACAAATGGGCACAATCCCATTGTTTATACTTTACTTCAATATCCTAACTTTTAGAGTTCCAGGTTGGAAGCTACTTAATCATAATATTTCCTAGGAATTTATTTTTTACCTAAAAATGTTTGAGTCTGAAGCAGGTAAAATAATAAAACCATGAGAAAGGAAAGTAAAAAGCAGCAATTGGGGCGGATTAAGTTAACAAATTTACTGGATTTGGAGAGGAGGGGGGGGGGGGGGGGGGGGGGGGGGGGGGGGGGAATGCAGAAGGTTAAGATCAGTATTTAATGTAAGAACTCAACAAACACAAGGTGAGTTGTTTAAAATGAATGCATTAAATTACAAGAGAAACAAGATGAGGTGATAAGATGAGTTTCAGGTTCATACTAATAATCAGTGAGTCACATGTGACCGGTATTTTAGTATGATTTATGCACAATTAATAAAAGTATAACTAAAATCCGTCCTTTTGGGACAGTGAAAAGAGGAATGAAAGAATATAAAATGACATTGAATACCATGGGCAGAAAATCAGTAGACCAGCAGCAGGGGAGATCACTATTGAATGGCTTATGTGTTAGCCATAATATGAAGTGAGACCAGTGTTGACACTTTTCTTTGACAAAAAACATCTAAAACGGAGTCAAAAAATAACTTAAAACATGTAAATTTGCATGGAAAACATCTAGAAAAAAACATCCAAATGGAAAGTGGCACAAATTACATCAATTAATATGGCTTTCCCTATAGAATCATGTCCCCATCTTTACTGAAGTCTGCCTTGCAAGATCCACAGGATAAACTTAGCTTGGGTGATGAATTTGAAGCTTCAGATCCCAAATGACTCTGGTATGCTTTAGCTGTTTCAATTTCTTTTAATACCCAATCAGGGAGCTGATAACTGGAACAGCCTTTCCTACTCTTATCAGGCCAAATTTTATTGTCAAGATAGCATTTAAGAGGTCAAATTTCATTCTGTTTCTTATGTTAGATTTCATAAATTTACTCCAAATGAAAAACATCTAGGAAACATCTACTATCTAAACATCAAAAACGTCCTCTAAATGCAATTAATCAAGTAACAGTGCAAGGGAAAACATCTAAATATGGACGTAAAACATCCAAAGTGGCAACACTGAGTGAGACAGAGTCATGTGGGATAAAACCCAGTGCAATGAAGTCCTGCCTTTAAGTGCCTTTTATATAATAAATAATCACTGCATTAAAATAATCACTGGCCAGTGTTCGAAACCAGGCGGTTCCCGGAGTTCCCCCAGCTTGTAGGTAATGGGTACCAGAGTGACACTCTGGAGTAAATGGAGGAACGTCGCTGTAGCTACAAAGTTTCGTGCGGACGGCGACACAGGCGGACAGTTTCTTATCAGCTGTCCGTACTGTTGGCAGAGCCATGATGGTTTATAACCGTGTATAATGACGTTGGTTCACATCTCCTGACTTTACCTTTACCTTTTTTGTATATAATAAATATTGTTACGTTATGCTTGTATGGCGTTTTGTTTTGTTTATTTACAATTTCTTATTATTTCTTTTTCAAATTCTTCTTTTTTGTCTCTGTATGAATTTGGCTGTGTGCCAGTAATGGTCTGGAATTCCATTCTCTAATTGTAGATAAAAGTAAAGATCCCTTTTCCACGCCTTTAGGCACATAGGGCTAGACCTATATTTATCTAGACCAATCGGCACAAGATAGGTGATGTGGTCAGCATCCCGCCAGCCGCCTTTACTTCACGTGACTGCATCCGGTACCCATTAAAGGCTGGGTCGACCTGGGGAGTGAAGGTTGTGAATGGCTTATGTGTCAGCCATAATATAAAGTGTAAATATACAGAGATGGACACATTTAAAAAAACATGATGACAGGTATTTGAAGATAAGTAATCTTCCTGGCAACTTTTCCCTCCCTGTGGATAACTATTCTTAATGTGTCCTATTCCTTCTCGCTTTGGCCAGGTGCTCTGACTCCCAAGTAGTATATATAATTTTAAACATTATTCCTGCAGCTTAGCACGGATATGCCTGTAGGGACAAAGCTGAAGAAATGTTGGTGGTTGCGGTTTAATAGGTATGAAGAAGAAACAATTATGAACCTCCCCAGGATCCTTTGTGGCGTCTCCTAGCCACCACGAGGATGCTGGCAGTGATAGTTCAGGTCTAAATTGTCATCGTGTTGCCTTGGTAGCTGAGGGTGTTTTAAGGAAACTAGATGGATATATATTTTTTTTAAATAAACATAAAAATGGCAGAGAGGGGCGGGGTGGTGGGTTATGGTAATTGTAATGATAATTTCAGCTTCATAGCAAAAGGTTCACCTCATAGAAACTTTGCCACAACTCAAAACAGTGACCGTGCCTAGCGTCCATTTTGACCGGAAGTCTCGGGATGGTGGGTTGTTAGCTGATGGTGATCTATCAGGTATGGCTGTTTATACACTAAATAGATCCAAAGGCCCTTCTTAGGGGTCTGCCTTTTTATATAGCTCCGCTGAATCTCCACAAAATTCTTGCTGGTGATTTGATAGGGCCAGAGAGAAGGAAAAAAACGAGTCCTTTTGTGGCTACTGTGAACCTACACCAGACCTGTGAAGAAGTCACGTTTCTCCTATTAAGATGTTTCTCTAAAGAAGTGTTTCCTTTATTTTCGCGAGTCTCTCTCTCTCTCTCTCTCTCTCTCTCTCTCTCTCTCTCTCCCTCCCTCTCTCTCGGACTTGGTTCCACTCATTCGACCCAGATCGTTGTCTAGGGGTCACTAAAGTAGAATAGACGAGACAGACTGTCTTCCATCAATGATCACAGTGCTCTAAATAAATGATAGTCGACGATGAAGATGACCAGTCCCAGGTTTATTCCATTAACTTAACAACAAGAATCAATATGACAATCGGACTTATGCTCTCCGGTCAAGAATCAGTTGCTCTCATATGTGGGCTCACCGCTGAGCCACATTGACGATGACTTACATGCAGTCAGTACCAGCCACAGTTAATCAGACAAAGCCATTATTCAACGTAGATTTACCAAAGGTACTTCGCAGCCATACATAAATCATGTTCCACTTCATTCAAAGTCAACACACTTTCATTCTAAACACGTTAGTTCAATCAGAACTCTCTGGTGCCCAGTCCACCACATCCATAATCCCCAAGATCTCGCATTCACTCGTGAATTTCTCAATTCTGTCTTTTCACCCGTGAAACCTATGCTTCTCACATTAGGAACTTTCCCAGTTCTGTCAATCGGCAATTTCCCCATGATTCATAATTCTCTCACTAGGGACTTTCCCAATTATGTCACTCAGTCATACCCTGACGTTGTGCCTATTTAACGCATTATTACAAGACCCATAGTGACTAGTCAGTGGGGTCCCAAGGGAAAAAAAAACGCAGAAATACATAATATAAAGCCATACCCCATCTACCACACTCAGCTAATAACGCGAGTATAAGTTCGTTCCCAGTTCGTTCAATTAGCAAAACTCGCCTGTTTGAAGCCAAAGGTAATGAGATAAGCTGGAAACAATCAAGTAACAGTAGGAAGGCCACCGCTGCACTGGACATTCAATGAAGGTGAGATATTTATTGGACAGGAGGCTTACGAAAATACCAGCACGGTCCTGACAGTTAGAGCTTAGATTACAGAGAATCTCTCCATAATGGGCACCACAAACTAATGACACTGGATGCAGCAGAACATCAGACACTGGACACGGCAGAATACCTGCTAGTGATCTGGTTATCAGATTATAACGTCCAGAAGAACGTCCAGTCACATACACAGTCACAGTCAGACCTAGATTGCCGGACGCGATTATACAGTAACAAACTGAATCAGTAACAGTGCTTTAAATTATCTACTTTCAATAATTTAGTTAAATACTCAATGCTATGGCTAGCACTAGTAAGTGGGAATATGAAAATCGTGCATTCAGCAGTGACTGGACACTGAACTATTTATTTATATCACCAACTCTGCCTAATTCGAAACCATTATGCTTGCTTTTTTATTTCTTCAACACTGGACTCGGCAATCTTAACCAAACGAATGATATACATATTTTTTAAAGTTTCAGAATAATTTCAGTAACAGATTTGACGACTTCAGTATCTCAAACAATGTAATGTTATTTGTTCGAGATCCTTTTAAAATTTTAAAATTTTGTCTGGCTCAACTTGCACTTGTGAATCAAGCTTCTCACACATGAATGTCATCAAGACAAACATTTGAAGCTCACTGAGCAATGATAGGCTGCAGGATTGTATGAGAATCGCTCCAACTTCTCGCCTGCCAAATTTTTTAAAATTAGCTCAAAAACGAAAATGTAGCATTTCCCATTATTACATTTTGCATCATAATACCTTTCGGTTTCTTCTGCAGAACATGAAAGCAACTGTGTACAGTTGTTATTATTATTGCGACAATGGTAACGTTTATTTATCATCGCAACGACAAGCTGGAAATACGTGTGTTTCATTTAAACTTAATCCCCGTGTGCGTTCCCTATTGTGGGGAAACGAGGATAGGCCCACTGCCTACCCAAAAGAATGTCGCAACAGTCGACTAATTGGGAACTTCCTTCGAAATCGTAGTATATCTGCCTGAGAGCCAAGGGACCTAGTCTGCATGCAGATGAAGATATAAAACCGAACGAAAAGTATATTAGCAAGCTTCACAATATAACAAATACAAACAAAACGTGAACGTTGCAGCTATTGAGCCTTCATCAGCGCATACAAATTAAACAATACTACGTAGTACACAAAATCACTTAGCTGGTATCTCGATGCGGTAGGGTCGGTTGTTACTCAGCGCAGATGAGTAAGGCGTGTAAAACAGATTTGTACGCAACACTCAGTTTCTGTAACAGGACTAGAGTCCAGAACAACCAAATCTTTCCGCTGGAGTTTACAGCCGGTGAATACGAAGAAGAAGAAGAATTAAAAGTGAGTATTGATTAATCATTACAGAAGATTGTAGTACACTTTACATTATAATGGTTTCCATCACTGCTTCATTTATATAGGCTACGTCCTAGATGTAATAGTTTTCGAGTGTTTTAAATCTACAGATTGAAAATTGTGTCAATTGTAGTGTGGGCTCGGGCCAATGGCCCGCAACGATCTCCGTGTTCAACATTTTGGCCCTCGAGCAAACTTAGTTGAACAGCCCTGTACTACACCATAGTTGACAGAGACATCTGTAGAATCACCTCATGACATTGCTAAAGGCAGACGACATGCCATACGCTGTAGCTAACAGAGATAAGATATCAGTAGAACCACCTTATGATAATTTTGAAGCTAGAAGGCATGTCCTACACACCAGCTGACAGATACATCGGTAGAACCACCTCACGACATTGCTGAAGCTAAAAGACATGTACTACACTATAGTCGACAGAGACATCCGTAGAACCACCTCATGACATTGCGGAAGCTAAAAGACATGTCTTACACTATAGCCGACAGAGACATCCGTAGAACCACCTCATGACATTGCATAAGCTAAAAGACATATGCTACTCTATAGTCGACAGAGACATTCGTAGAACCACCTCATGACATTGCATAAGCTAAAAGACATGTACTACGCTATAGTCGACAGAGACATCAGTAGAACCACTTCATGACATTGCAGTAGCTAAAAGACATATGCTACACTATAGCCGACAGAGACATCAGTAGAACCACTTCATGACATTGCAGAAGCTAAAAGACATATGCTACGCTATAGCCGACAGAGACATTCGTAGAACCACCTCATGACATTGCGGAAGCTAAAAGACATGTATTACACTATAGCCGACAGAGACATTCGTAGAACCACCTCATAACAGTGCAGAAGCTAAAAGACATGTATTACACTATAGCCGACAGAGACATCAGTAGAACCACCTCATGACATTGTGGAAGCTAAAAGACATGTATTACACTATAGTCGACAGAGACATTCGTAGAACCACCTCATGACAGTACAGAAGCTAAAAGACATGTACTACATTATAGCCGACAGAGACATCAGTAGAACCACCTCATGACAGTGCAGAAGCTAAAAGACATGGTCTACACTGAAGCGGACGAAGGCATCAGTAGAACCATCTCATGATATTGCTGAAGGCAGAAGACATGTTTTCAACTGTTGCTGACAGAGGCAAAACATAGTTAGAATTAACTGATGACATTACATAAGGTAGAATGACATATCCTACAATTTAGATGACATTTATAAAATCAACATGAAATTGCTGAATCCGTAAGACATGTCTGACGATGAAAAGACTTCAAAACCAGCAGGTGATAACACTGAGGCTAGAATACTGATGTCTGGGGTATAATTGACACAGGCATCTGTAAAAAGAAGTTATAACAAGATTTTAGCGAACTAGAAGTGTCTCAGCCGAGGCTATGATTCCATCGATCCAAACAGAATCAAAAGCATTATTAGAGTCGTCCAATCAATATGGAATTAATTTTTCGCCAGTTGAAGAAAAATCAAGTGACGATACCCAATAAGTACAACAATTTAGTGACGTTAACAAATAAACATCACATGAAGAAAGGTAAGGCACGGGGCCAGACAACATCACATTGGAAGAAATTAAAGCTTTGGGATATTTTTGAAGTGAAATAATAACAAAATTATAATAGACATTTAAAATAATAAGTACATTCCTAATGACCTATTAAAATCTAAAAAAAAAAAAAAATTTTTTTGCTCTGTCAAAGAAACCAGGCACTTTAAAAAGTGAAGACTATCGTATCATGAGTCTTATCAGTCATGTGACAAAAATGTTACTTACAATAATTATGAGAAGAATACGAAACAAGATTAAACCAGAAATTAGTGAAGAACAATGTGAATTTAATTGTGTGAAATACGAAGAAAAACATCCAACTACTGGAAAAGTTAAACATTGATGGAAAAGATATACGACTTAAAAACGGCAGCAAACAGCAGCTAGAAGAATTAATAACCAGCTGGGAACATTTCAGAGCATAACGAGGGGAGTAAGACAAGGATGCGTACTATCACCTCATTTGTTTTCATTATATTATATTATAAGGATATCTATCATGGGTATGCCAGGAATTGCGTTGGTGGGCATAACACAAACAACCTACGTTATACTGATGACATAGTTTTGATAGCGACCAGTCAGAAAGAACTACATGAATTGATAGATGCGGTAGTGGTAGAAAGTGATAAAATGAGTCTCGGTTTGAATAATAGAAAGAGAGAAAGAAGTACTTGGATAGGACAGTGATTGGATGAATTAATGAAGAATTGTCATCACAGCATTTAGGGAATTCCTGTGTACCTGTTCCATCCAGGGTCGTCTTACCGCACGGGCCCGCTGTGCACTTACCCGGTGAATTTGTATACAAAGGTTATTGCAGATAATGCCTCTGTTTAGCCAGCTATCCATTCCTGACATTCCTAGGCCAAAGTAACTTTCAGTCAGTGCGGGGCTGTTTTGCTGGGCCGCGCTATCACCCATTTCCTTACATTCCTAGTCCAAATTACTATCAGTCAGTGCAGGGTTGTTTTGCTGGGCCGCGCTGTCACCCATTTCCTGACATTCTTAGTCCAAAGTAACTATCAGTCAGTGCGAAGCTGTTTTGCTAGGCCGCGCTGTCACCCATTTCCGGACATTCTTAGTCCAAAGTAACTATCAGTCAGTGCGGGGCTGTTTTGCTGGGCCGCGCTGTCACCCATTTCCTGACATTCTTAGTCCAAAGTAACTATCAGTCAGTGTAGGGCTGTTTTGCTGGGCCGCGCTGTCACCCATTTCCACTATTATAACAGTGTTAACCAGTACGTTTACAGAGTTTTTACGAAACACGAAAGGCACATTTTGTTCTCAAGGTCAGAAAACAATTTCTAAACATTTTGGTTCATTCTAGAAGTATACTTCAGTTGTAAACACAAGAGACTTCGAAGATATCGTTTTACAGAAACATACGGCAAATTCTCTATCAGCATAAAAAGTTGATTTAAATATTCTAAAACGGGTTAAGACTTATCACGAACACCAGAAAAACACACAGAGAGAGAGAGAGAGAGAGAGAGAGAGAGAGAGAGAGAGAGAGAGAGAGAGAGAGAGAGAGAGAGAGTTGTCTTTATTATGAGAAGAGAAACATCTGGAACGTAGCAGCTAGGGCAAAAATTATAGGAATAGAGAAGAGACAAAGTAAGACACCAAAAGAAGACTTTTCAGCCCTTTATCATGTCACTGAAATGTGTGCACTCGGTTACCTACTGTTGGACATCCTAAGATGTGGAAAAAGTTTACAGTCCACACTAGTCTTTAAGGTACTGATGTTAGGGATGATGCAATGTGTAAACGAACAGTTACCAAGCTTTCGTAAACAATGAGGCTAATGCATACTGATAACCGATTTTCGGACGTCTGTGCTGTTTATATCTTTATATCAGCATCTTGATTCTCATACAGAATCTTTGGAAAAATCCATTCATTTTTAAATGATTATTTAACTACGATAAGATCAATATAATCAGCAACATTAAATACACTAAAAAATCGTCTCTATCTTCTTATTTTATGCGAGCGGATCAATACTCGTTTAACTATTCTCCCTTGTTTTGGTGATGTGCGTGAATTTTTCTTTCTTGATATATTAGGTAACAGTCAGTAGTGACACCGCCCAGAGACGGGTTTTGACCTTGTTAAAATGGCGACGGTAATGCTGCTGAGAGCTTGTTCCAGAGGTTATACTCTTATTTTTGGTTGTTTTTGGGTTTTATAACTTGCAAATAATATATTTAGCTACCACATAACTGTTTCATTCAAATAATAATGACATTTTTATTTTAATAATTAAGAATAAATCATGTTTTTCTTTGTTCTGACAATTCGAATGGAATCAGAAGTCACCGCACCGATTCGTTTCGTTCCGTTACAGTTAGATTTTGTTGTTTATGTCCGGATCTGTTCGATTAAGATTAACATGAAAACAATCCTGTGCTCCCTGAAGCCAATAATTATTTTTTTTTAACTGTTTAAAAAGTTTAAATGGTATTATTATGTTCATAATTTGACATAATTGAACTTTAGTCAATTTTTAAAAAGCTTTAAATAAATGCATGGTTATTCTGATTACCACTAATCCATAGTGATATTATTTAAAAATCTTCCGCGACTTCGGCTCTACTTGGAACAACTGTTTTAAATTAACTACGCAGAAAGTTAATCCCAAACAGAGCCTCATTACGTCCTGCCCTACAAACATTTAAAAGCTGTAACTCGGGAAATATAAGGAACGGAAAGTATCAGGAAAAGGGCAAAGTCTACTACTTACCGAAAAGTAAATCCGTGATATGTAGAAATTGTGGCACTATAGTTGCAAATAGTGCGCGAATATCTGTTGTTTCTCGCTGTCCGCTATCGCAACTCAGCACGGCCTGTCCGCGAATCTCGTTCCGAACGAGACATGATCAGCTCTGTCTGATTCGCGGTTTAATGTATGCGCATGTCGCACAGCCTGTCCGCGATTCTCGTTCCGAGCGAGACGTGATCTAATGCGCGGTTTAATGTACGCATATGTCGCCTCGGACAACGTCAAACCAGCAGCTGCCATGATGGCGCTGGTTCTTACGACAGACGAAGTAGCTCCTGTAAATTGTTGACTTTTTTTCTGGCGACTATTTTGCCACCTCCGAGAGTATCCCCCGCGCCGCTACGCGCGGCGCGGAAGGGACTAAACTAGATGGCTGGGACCCACGAGCAAATACATTGGAGGAAGCTGCAGGAGATGCGGTAGCTGCGCGGGGGATACTCTCGGAGGTGGCACTATAGTCGGCGAAAAGCGGCCCGCCACTTACATATAACTCGGGCCCTGCTGTATCGGGAGTATTCTCGCGTGTCGGTAATGTTTTTTCGTTCGCAGTTAATGCTTATTTTGCCGCCATCTAATCGCCGTAAAAAATCCGTTGCGTTCCGCGAAACTGTCGTCCACAGTTAATCCTACTTTTGACACGGTTGAATCGCCGCAAAAGAAATGCGACTTTTACATATGAGTGAGGCTCTGTTTGGGTTAACTGTCTGCGTTGCGAGGCTCTGTTTGGGGTAACTTTCTGCGTAGTTAATTTAGAACCGTTATTCCAAGTAGAGCCAAATCTTCTAAATTTGTTTCCCTAATAGGTTAGTTGCGTATCCTTTACAGGACATTGCAGAACCAACCCCAACAGCCCCTGGCTGTTGTGTGGTTTTTCTATGCAAATTTGTGTCCAGTAGTTTGCCATTGCTTTTTTGGACGGTCGGCTTTCTTGATACCACTGTCAAAACCAACGCAAGGTGCATGGCCCGCAGCTGGGATCGAACCCAGCATTACGAAGCGTTTGCATTGACTTAGCCACAGAGCCGACCATCCCTAATATGTACTGTTAAATAATTAATGTTTACCATTTTCACTTTAAACTTTGCGTTTTTCAAATCAGACTGGATGATTCTAAAGCCACCCTGGGTGGGTTGTTTTTTCCAAATTAAACTGGAAATTTATCCAGTTTGATTAACATCCTAGGTGGTTTGATGACACTGGACAAGGTGCAGACATGGACATGCAAACAACTAGTCTGTTTTTAATTAATCTCTTTTTGTTTAGGAGATTCAGAGATGGTCAGCTATAAATTATTCAGCCTGTGTATAATGAAAATACTATTTTGGAGCGCTGTATTTTCAGCAGCAGAATCCTGTGTGTATTGCATCACCCAAACATACACACGAATTTAGAGAAGTATAGGTAACCAAAAATGATGCAGTTATTGATGAAAGGTAAACTCTGGGAGTGTGAACAAGTAATTTTATCCCTGCTCCTTAAATCCAGCAGTAGGGATGCCTCGATAGTATGTTAACAGTGCAGATGCAATGACTTTCATCGGGCTCTAGTGGCAGACAGCCTGCTTGGGCACTCTGACAGATCATAGTTCAGTATAATCTTGAACATGAACAAGAAATATTGGGAACACAACGCAGTTGCTATGAAATATTTGTTTGTTCCAACAACTGGTCGCCTCTATCAATGCACCAGAGATGTAAATGACTAGTGTCAGCCAGATTGACCACATACAAAAGCATCAACAGGTTTAGCGTTCGTTACCCTTATAGGATGACCAAACACACCATTTCCGGTCACAGACACTTCACTCAAGAACTGGCGAACGTACACTTGAACAGAAACACTTATCTCACAGCAGACACCAACTCAGCCATTTTTACGGAACTGGATAGTCAGGTTTTTCTGACCAGGTCAGCTGCTTGATTTAACATTCACTTACTCTGAATATTCGCTCATTTCCCATTCTTCAAGCGCCATACGATCCGACTTTTTGAACATCAAAAACAAGACTAAATCTTCTCATTCATTCCATGTTTAAAAAAACATTTACCTTTCAGTTTCTTAATGTTCCGCACATGATACATGCTTTTTATCATCTTACACGCTTGCCTTGAATTAATCATTACTCGATCCATTCATGCATACATTACATCTCGATACCATTATACAGAATTCAAGCACATAATTCATGCTTAGTGTCTAATGGTAACGTCTGTTATATTTGCGGGAAAGTGACATTTGCAAGTCAGAAAAAGATCATCACAGCAATATTGAAAAGGGTGTATGACTTATTGGAGATGCAAGATCAGGGGCCTGGGCCCAACTAATATGCTGCATTTCCTGTGTAAGAAAACTCCTGAAGTTGATAAAAGGGGCAGATGTTTTGATGCTCTGTGCAGTTCATATGGTTTGAAGAGAGCCCAGCAATCACATAAATGACTAGAGTTTCTTCATTGTTCCACCTATTTGAGGGGGGGGGGGGGGTCCACTCAAAAAATAAATTTACTTACTACTTACTTACTTAGTCGCTCCTCTTCTACCTTGGGGTGTAGAGGTTTGCCAGAGAGATCGCCAGACGTCTCTATCCGCAGTTTTCTTTCTGGCTTTGTTCCATTCCAGTCCTCTGTCAGTTAGGGACTGTCGGATGTTGTCTTCCCAGCGCACCCTGGGTCGTCCCGGAGGTCTGGTTCCCTGGTTCTTAGCCTCCCATGCTTGCCATGGTGGCCGATTTTCTCCCATTCTGCATACATGTCCAAACCATCGTAACTGTGACTGATCTACTCGGGTTAGTAAGGGCTGGGTATCAAGATCTTGACGTACTGTCTGATTGCGGACTTTGTCCCTTCTTGTCACTTGGACCACCTTTCTCAGGTATCTCATTTCCGAGGCCTGCAGCTGGCTTCTGTGAGCTGTTGTCATTGCCCATGACTCACACCCATAGGTCAGGACTGGTACATAGGTAGAGCGGTAAACAGCCATTTTCGTCCTCTTGCCAATTTCTCTTTTGCTAAGAAACCCTCGGTTTATGGCCTGGAAGAGTCTCCCAGCAGCTGCTTTTCGTGTAGCCAGCTCAGTCTTAATGCCTATAAATATAAATAATTGCTATTTTTTATCTTGATGCAGTGACTTTTATCAAATTTTGTCTAGTGAAATTAACTAGATAGTTTAAAAAATCTATCAGTTGGATTTGAAAAACGTCTTAGGTGGTTTGAAAATTGTCCACTTTGGTTTTAGATATGTCCTAGGTGATTTTAAACATGCTAGGTAGTTTACAAATTTCCGGCTTTGTTTGAAAAACATCCTAGGTGGTTGGAAAAGAGTCCAGTTTAAAGTGAAAATAGTTTTGTTTAAAAAGTTCTAATAAATCAGTGTACATCTACGTATGTGTTTATTATGTATCAAGAACAATACAGCAAGTTTGAACATTGAGCTTCCTGTATGGGTTCCAGGGCCCCATTGTGGGAAAACAAGAATGTGCTCGCTGCCTCCCCAACAAGCATGCCAAAAGAGTTGTCTAATTGAGAGCTTCCTTGGAAGTCGACTTGCCCAAGAGACAAGGAACCAACTACCTGCATACAGATAAGCCAGATCTGTAAAACAGATGTGCTGGCAACACTCAGGTTCTGGAACAAGACTAAAGTCCAGAGTTGGATGGACAATGAGAACTTTCCGCCAGAGCTTACAGCTGGTGAATGGGAAGAAAAAACAGAACATTGAACTTGAGTTTGACAGAAACTGACATTTTCATTCATATTTAATGCCACAGTAGTTTTTAAAACATAAAATAGAAGTTTGAGAGCATGATGGATGACATAGAAAAGACGGCACCAGCTGCCAATAAGCTTCTAAAAGATGTTGTAAATAATATAAAAGAATAACAATGTTTTTTCCTTGTGGTATGCAACAACACAAACTGTGGACTATTATGAAAAGTATGGCGCATTTAGTGCATTTAATCGAAAATCTTTATCATGAACAACAAGCAGCTATCAGAGCAGCTGATGAAACATCGGATTGGTTCGAGGTGCAAAAAGGAGTGAGGCAGGGGTGCATTCTCTCACCATACCTATTCAATATATACGCAGAAAATATAATGATAAATGTTAAAAATGACCAGACTTGTGACAGTTATGATCCGCTCAAAATTGGTGGCAACCCTATTCTGGAACTTCACTACGCAGATGACACAGTCCTCCTTTCGAAAGCATAAAGGGAATAAAAAATTTAATATTGTCTGTCCAAAAGCACAGTGAAGATCAAAATCTGTTCTTGAATTTAAAGAAAACGAAGATAATTTCCACAAATAAAACTGGCTGTCACTCAAAAATAGCAATAAATGATGAAGAAATTGAAAATTTCACAAACTTTGAATATCTAGGCTCTACAATAAACAGCAGTGAAGACTGTTTGCCAGAAATTAAAAGGAGGATGGCCATAGCAGTGCAAAAATTGAACAGCCTTAAAAGTCTATGGTTAAGCACCAGCAAGGAGATCAAAATTAGAATTTTGAGAGCATGCATCTTCCCTGTGGCTACATACGGACGTGAGTCGTGAATTATCTCTGTCTTTAAGAAAGAAATAGGGACTTTTGAGCTGAAATGCTTTAGAAATATTTTCAGAATATCCTGGACAAAGAAGAGGAGAAATACTGACATCTTGAAAGATTTAAACATCAAGGAAGATTGGCTAATAAACAGCATCCTGTCTTGGAAGCTGAAAATTTTTTGTCATATCAAGCGCCAGGGCGGATTGGAAAAAATTATAGCAGAAGCATGGTACCAGGAAGGAGGAGCAGGGACGGACCGGCACGAAGATGGGCACAGGATATAAGTGACTCCTTGAGTATGGAAGTACATGAGGCGGGAGAACTGGCGAGAGACCTTGTTTCTTCAGGCAGACTGTGATGAGAGCGACGTTCTGCAAAGGACCTGCTACATGATGATGATGCAACAGTACACAGTGCCGGCAAGCATTTTATTTGCATATTTTTTCCAGGCTTCTCAAATAGATATGATGGAGTATCGCCACCTATTTTTAGACATATTATTTTAAAGTATCAACTTCACTGAGTATGGGGTGCATATCAAAATTTTTGCAGACATCTTTTCTCGTCATGACAATATATATCAGCCAAAAGAAAATGTAGAGAAAAGATATATCCATTTTCTTTTTTTTTTTTTTTTTTTTTTTTGGTTATTAACTGCTAAACGGTGAATACGAATTTAAAAAAAAAATGATAATAATAAATGACATACATGGCAAATTTACAGGAATCGATTTGTAGGTGGTTATGTGATAATAAAGATAAAGAAAAAACTTGGAACTCTTCCTTGGCTACTGAGAATGGGGACTGAGTTTGTGAGAAAATGTCCCTGGTCTAGTTATGTCATCCATTCTTTTCTCTTCTCTATTCCATAGGTTCTAGAAACCTGCTGCTTCAGATGAGAGCCCTGCCACAATGCCAGAGCCAAGCTGTCATTTCAAAACCATTCACCGCCAGTCCTGCTCTGGCTACAATTGAATACTTCAGAGCTAGAAGAGGACCGTTCACTCCCGGTAATATCTCATTCTGCAATAACGTCTTCCTAACTAGGATATCTGAGATTTAATAGAGACTAAACCTAGTGCCAAACTTGGAACAGTTAACATTAACACTTGCCATCCCTAGCAGTTATTACTGTAACTAATTCAGTCTTTGTAAGTTGATCTCGAAAGCAATACATACGCTGGTCTTAAGGAGCTGAACACAGTCACTATGCGGTACAAATAATTCAACTAAAAATGCACTTCCAGAGGGTTAATGTAAAACCAGTCTGTGATAGAAGACAGCAAGACAAGATCATAAGATCTTTGGAATTACCACACCCCAAAAAAAAATCAAGTATGGTATTTGATACTGAAATGGCTAAATCAGTACTCTGTTGGAGAAAACCCTTTATTTGCCACTGGTGCATTGCTCATATGAAGCTGGACTAGTATTTTTATAGACCAGTCAGCATCACACTGGCCACCTTTACTTTCGAGAACATTACCAGGTACCCAGTTTAGGTTGGGTCCACCTAAGGGCCAAGTTTAAAGAAAAAACTGTGTCGGTGTAGATTCAAATGCAAGACCTTAAAGCTGGCAGTTTAATGTCTGGCCACTTCACTACTGCAGTGCCCTCACTACTGGTGTATGGAGCAGAAACATGGACATGAAGAATGTTTATAGGTGGATTTTTTCATTTGAAGGTTGAAGTTAAGAGAATCCACCGGGTATTATCCGTATGGCTCCGTCTCTCTCTCTCTCTATCTCTGCAGAATCGCCCTGCCAAGAGCATAGACATAGCATGAATGCCAAAGCTCCGGCTCAGATCCCCATTGGTCTGCATAAAAATTGTGCCAGTGTACTGAATGACGCAGCTGTGAAATGAACCCATGACCTTAAGAGCACGAGGCTAATGGCTTAACCACTTCACCATGGAGATCATCTATTTTAATTTGGCAGGCACTAAAAATTAGACAGTTAACTATATGTTCCAGACATACTTCTAAGAAAAATTTTTAGGTCCTTAGAGGTTGTTGCTGGACCTGTTTGGAATTGAGTACTTTGTGAATGCTCTTGGCGAGCTACCAGCTGCTCTATACAGAGGGACCAGCCAATTAAAATGAAACTTTGCCATGTATACCTGTGGATTGGTACCTGAGACAGATCACATCCTCCAAGACTGTCCCAGATACAACATATCAAGGTAAAGCTTTTGGCCAAGTAAAACACTAGTGCAAGCCAAACTTTACAGGTCACTAAATGAATTACAACAGACAAGACAGCACTGCAGATATAGATAATATATTTCAAGCGATTGAAAGAAAAAGAAGAAGAAAATGAAACCCATTCATTACTGTAAGGTTGATTATCTTGTTTTTACATTTTTTCAAGTAAAATAACATGGAATATTGATTGAATGAGTCAAGATGTGACGTTATTGAACTCAGGACATTCCCTTATTAATTAGTTGAGCCCTGTTCCTTTCTACAACAGCCAACGAAAATGTTCCCATGTTGCTAATTCTAGTGGTAATTTGATTGTAAGTCCTTGAAATTATGGCAGCATTTCAGAACTTCTAGCTACTTGAAACAGGTATGGGGATGAATGCCTCATACATTCTCTGTATCAGCACACAATTTATTTGTGTTGCATTCTCTTTCCTATGGCCTACATAAGGTGGGCTTTACAGTGTCTCCTCGACTTATGACTGAGTTCTGTTCTGACTAAGAAGTCACTAGTTAAACTGGTTGTAAATTTAATTCAAAATTTTAGACACTGTTTTCATACAAACAGGACAAAAATTGTACATAAAACACAGAATTCCATTATAGCTAATCTCTATGTAACTGATGCTTGAAGGCCACTAAGTGAGAGACAGGGCCAGGCAGTGTTGCTAGATCTGAAGATTGAAAAGTAGCAAGGCTGTGTTCTAAAAGTAGGGGATTTTTAACTATTTGTAGGCGAAACAAAACCAAAAAATTTTGTTGGAACTATGCTCTAAAACTAATAAAATATCCTGTCTGGGTTCCGGGGCCCTATTTTAGAGGGAACAAGAATATACCCACTGTCTACCCAAAAGCATGTCGTAGGAGTGGATTGATTGGGAGCTTCCTTCAAAGTCAGAGTGCAGCTGCCTGAAAGGCAAGGAACCAACAGTCTGCACACAAATGTGTCAGATCTGTCAAACGGATGCACCCAACACTCAGGTTCTGGAACAGGACTGCAGTCCAAAAGTGGACGAACAACCAAAACTTTCCACTAGAGTTTACAGCTTGTGAACGCAAAGAAGAAGAAGAAGAACTAATGAAATAAGTTTGTATGAGTGTGTAGACATTTAGTACATGTGTCACTTTGCTCTCTCTTGACAAAGTGAGTCATTTGTGGGCAGAGTGATTTATTTTTCAACTTAAGCCACTGACCACCACGCTCATTTACCCTTGCACTTTCCCAGATACTACTATTTTAGTGTGTACCAAAAATGCCATAGCTTCACATCTTCTTTGCAGAGAGTGAAAAGCCATACGCGATAAAACTCCTTAAAATGAAGTTGGTCCTCCTGTCTTTACACAACTTTAAATTAAATGGAATAGGTGTTTGTGGTATTCATTTAGGTTGATGTTTATTATGAACAAAAGATTCCAGCTTCATGTTTGTGTTGCAAATGATATTTCTGAAATTATGTTTAGTTTCTCATTAGATGATCTATCTGTATTATTTGCTGTAATCATTTCTTCCAGAGGAGAAGAGGGGGAAAAATCACATAATGACAGCATCCACCCATTGGAAAGTTGAAAGAATCGTTGCCGTGGCAATGGTTGGAATCATGCCAGCAGCACTGTTTATTCAGGGTTCCACGATGGATCATCTGTTGAGCACTTTTGTCTATCTTCATGGTTTCTGGTAAATTTATTCCTAAAAGACATCACTGTTGTGTTTAAGTAATCGACTGTATTCATGTTTTCTTCAGTAATATCTCTTGAATTTTTATTTTTTTTTAAATCTTTAGCTAATATTTGTTAGAAGACCTTGACTTTGCTGATGCATAGTGCTTTTGAATTCAATGCACCCGGATATCTGAGAGAAAACAAACAATCTCCAAAATGTTTCAAGACAAATCAGACTCCAAATTACCACAGCCACACACACACACACACACACACACACACAAAATGTTTGATCTTACCAATAATTCAGACGACATTAAACTAAACGATCACATTCTTGAAAAAGTCAACAGCTTTTCATAATTAGGATGACATTTAGAGGAGACTCAGTGCCAGAAATATCATTTAGAATCACACTGGCATCTAATGCCTTTAACAAACTGTCAGACATCTTGAAGTCCGAGACACCCGGCAATAACACAGAACTTGAGATCTTCAACTATTCTGTGATTCCAGTGCTAACTTATGGATGCGAGAGTTGGAAAGCAGCGATAGCTCTAGATTTAATAAAATTAGTTTTGAGAAAAAATGTCTTAGAAGAAAACTAAATCTCCACTGGGCAGATTTCAGATCCAGAATGCGAATAAGACAAGAAACCAAGCAAGACAGTGTATCTAGTTTTATAAGAAAATGCTGCTGGAACTACATCAGCCATGTATTCAGAATGTATAAGCCAAGACTTCCCCATCAAGCCGTCAAATGGACACCGGAAGGGAAAAGAAAACAAGGAAGACCAAGAGAGACTACATAGAACCATCATCATCCGGGAAGGCTCAACCATGGGCCTAACAAACATCCAAGACCTAAAGGAGGTGGCAACGAAATGTCAGACATGGAAAGCTATGACCTTTGCCTTATGCACTGCCCTAGGCCCAAGAGGAAAGACTAACTAACTAATTTTTGTTAATTCCATTGTCTTTTATGAAATATCTCCAGCTAGTTTTTGTAACTGGTTCTGTGCCGACTTTTTCTCTTATGAAATCAGGACTGAGGTCATAAGAAACAAGTGGGTAAAGAACCAGTTTTTTCATTACAAAACAACGGCAGCAAATCACATGGTTTGCCGCTCTAAAGAGAATGCCTTGTGACACAATAACACACAAGACATTCACTAAAAGAGGACATAAGAGCACAATGTAGACCAAGAAAAAGATGAGAAGATAATATCAGAGAAACTCTACAACAGCATTATGTGTCTGTGGTTGGGGCAGCCAGAAGAGCAAGAACCACAACCTTATTTCTGCCTCGATATCTGAAGCGATAAAAGAAGACAATTTTTCGCAATTTTTGTTAGCTCTCCATGTTTTGGTGTGGTAAAATTCTTACTCTTATTTTTTGCTGTCATTGAAGTATTGCTTGTAAGTTCTTTTGGCTCGGGTTTTAGTGGCTCTCCGTGATTTTGATTATTATGACCAGGTAAAAAAAAAAAAGACTTTGATGTTGTAGATCAGTATTTCTTCCTCTTCTGTGCTCACCTCGAAAAGAAAACCGGTTGGCACATTGTACTGCAATATCTGTTGCCTTTTGGCACAGGCTACCCAATTTTGGTCATTACATTAATTAATTAGCTGCTTCTTATGTGTTTGTTAAGTGATACTGGGTCTGTTTCTTTCTTTCACCAAAATGTTACCCTGAAACCCACTCTGGGAGTAGGTAGTTTACTTTGTAATTGAATTTTTTTTTTCTCCCTAATATCATTTTTTGTTTCCTCAACATCCAGGTTAATATTCTACTACATACAATACAGCACTGTATCTCATTTTTGTCTTCTTCTTATTCTGCCCTCTATTCCCCAAAGGAGCATAGGCTTTCAACCAACACATGCCAAGTCATTTCATCCTTTGCCATTGCATGCAGCTCACTCCATATGTCCTGCCTGTCTTTGTAACTTTGTTCTCTAGCTCCCTTTTCCGCGTGTGTGTGTTTTTTTTTTTTTGGGGGGGGGGGGGGGGTGTCTGCCTTTATTTCTGTGACCCAGTGGGTTCCTGTAAAAAGACATTCTAGTTATATTTTTCACTGGTTTTCTCAGTGAGTGTCCTGTCCAATGCTGTCATCTCTTCTTCACCTCTTGATTCACTGGAATTTTAAATTCTCTCCCAAAGCTCAAATTTAGTGATTCTGTCATACCATTTCATTCCCTGCCCTCTTCACAGACACTAATTAATGTTTTTAGTAATAACTGAGTTCTTCTCCATACAGCAGAATGGTTTGACATTAGAATTATCTCATTTACATCTAGATATTTTTTCCTAATTTTCTTTAGCAATCTGCATATTTTGTATATTATTTCATTTTTACCAAATGCTCTTTTCTTTAATATTATGATTATAGATTTTAAAATTACTTAGGAACAACATTAAAATGCCTATCCTTTGTGTAGAATTTAGCTCCAAAACCTAGATGGATTAATAATTTTTCAAGTACTGTGTACTAACTAAATCTGAAATTTTCTTTCTGTTACAGGGGAATTGATGGAGTCCTGAAGGATTACATGCTGAAGTTTGTTCCCTGGATATGCAAACTGTGGTATCTTATTGCAATCGTGGGATTTGCTGGCCTTGTCAACTTTAATTACAATGATGTTGGGGTGTGCAAGGCAATTCAGATGATTTGGTCATTATGAAAATCAGAAATGACTCACTGAAAGAAAAGATTGTTATTAGTCAAACATATTGAAATTAATGTACTTGAAATTGTATGATTTGTGGTTTGTATGCTGGTGTAACTTTACTGGAATATGGATATTATTTTGGACAAATATGTCTTGATACCCTCGCGTATCATTCTATTAAGTGTGGTAATCACACCGTTAAGGAGCCTTTGACGGTTGGGTACATAATTGCTCATAATTTTGTGCATACTTACTTGTGTCATAGGGGACCTTACAATGCTGATTCTTTTCTGTTTGTGTATATTTTGTTTGGAATGCATTTTTGTTACCCATGTTTGTTTATCAGATGTGATGCTGGCTGTCTTCAAATATTGTATCTCCACAATCTTCGTTCCCTTTTTCAGTTTAGTAACTCGCTGTCGACATCCTTCTATGTCATTATATTTGACTGCCTCCTTAAGAATTTCTTTGTTTGCCGTTCTGACACTTTTAGTCTTACCCATAGATTCAAAACAAACTCCATTTGCATTCTTATGGTTTTTTTTTTTTAATAGTGCTCAAATTTCTTTTAGAATGTTCAGTTCATTGCTGACTGTAGCTGCTCTCCAAGATTTACGTTTAGAAGATATGCCGTCTTTCTTCTGTATTTAATACTTTTTAGGATGATATAGGGTGTGGGGTCTTGGGCCTGATAGTAGAGGGCTGCCTGGCTAAGGCAGTTGTCATGATCTTGGCAGGTTAGGAGTTTTATTTTTTACCCCCAACAGAAACAATTTCCATCAGCTGCTTTGTCCAGTGAAATTGATCTTGCACAAGAGAGCTTGTGACTTAAAACCACTTAGCCAGTTAATATATTGTCTGTTTTTTCTTTAAACTAAATAAACAGCAAGTTCTTTATTATCTGTATTTAATCCATTTGAAACAACCATTTAATGGGAATTTCTTTTTTTTTTAATATCAGGTACAGATCAAAGCAGTGTCAAGTTCTTCTGCATAACAGATTCTTTCCAAGACAATCACAGATTATTAATCAAATAAAACAGGTTTAAATTATGCAGCACGGAATATGCATCTGATGCCTAGTGTCAGAAGCTGAATTTAGCTGAGGAGCATAGCTGATGCTAAAGAGGGCAGTAATGGCATCATAGTCAGATAAATACTAAAGCAGTCTGTGAAGACAATATGAAGAGAGGACAGCAAAAAATTACAGATAGGAGCATAACAGTAGAAAGAGGCTTGGCAGCAAAAGCCATACCAGACCAGCATTTTCAGACTTGAGCAGGACATTTGTTAGCTCTGAGCTCACCTACATTGAATAATCTAATGCTAACACTTCTGCATCTGATTGTGGTGCACCTCAGCAAACTGCAGATCATGTGTTACATCAGTGTTTCCCAAACTTTTCTTGGTTGCAGCCCTTTTTTTTTAATTAAAATTTTTCCAATGTCCCCTAACCTAAGTGAAAGTATGACTAATCATGTCATTGTTAAATTAATTATGAAGTGGCGCCCCTCTGAAGAGGTCGAGGCTCCCCTGGGGGCGCCGTGGCACACAGCTTGGAAATCACTGTCAAATTTAGTCAAAGAAGAAGTTGAATATTTGTGCATGTGACAGTCAGTTTAGAAATACACTGAGTTTCTGGGGATTTACTTGAATGGAGAAAAAACACCTGAATTTCTAGACAGATGGAGAGTATTCAAGAGGGAATTGACTAAGTTGATACGTGATGCGCATATACAAGAAATAGAAAAACACACAGTTGCTGAACTGATAGAGTCTCAGAGAGGAAATATACACTTTCTTTCTTAGTTGAAACCAGATTTGGTTAAAAATGCTTGAGTTTTCTCAAAATAATTGATAAAAAACCTAGATAGAAATAATATAAACAGATAAATGGGCATTTTTAAAGAAAAAGGAACATAGTTTTAGTAAACTTATTTCACACTATACAGTTCTGATTACAAGAGAACTGCAGCAGACTATAGACATTTCAATGATTTCATTGAAAATCTTTTTTTTTTAATGCATGGTAACATAGTAAACAAGGGCAGTAGTAATATCAGTCTTGTGTTGGTTTCCCTGCAGCTGTAGCAGTGTGTTTGAACTAAATGATATTAATTTTGTTGTTACTAAAAAATTGTTTAGTTGCTTTCTTTGTTGTTTGCTAATGGGATTTTAGCTTATTATGTATTTTCATGGCTTGAAGAGAATGTAAGACGAATTAACAGATGTTGTTGACTTTCAGTTATTACTGTCTGTTTCTTTCCTTTTCAGGTTGAGGGGGGAGGGGGGGGGGGGGTGTGTTTATTGATGATGTCAGATTCTCAGTGGTGGCCTGGAGAGTACCGTTTCTGGAAGACGAAGCAGATCTAGACCTCTGTGAAGGTAAATACAAAACATTGAGATGTATTGGCTGCGAAAGCACATAGAGCTGGAAACTGGTAAGAGAAAGGGAGACTGTCAGGCGGGCCATGTCACGAGTGGTGTTCGGGAAAAGGCCTGCTGACTGACAGTATGATTAAGGGTCTCCTCGGGGAAATGTTTAGCCCATTCTCCTTATGCTCTGAAGGTCATGGGTTCGATTCGCAGACTGCTTTGTCCAGTGAAATTGATCTGTGTTGGTCGTGATGTCATCAGAGATTCTGGCATCATAAGGTAACCCTCCCCCCCCCCCCCCCCCAATCCCCCCTTATAATTCTATAAGGTGATGACTAAGAGGCCCTCTTCAGCCTTTTATAGAAGTTCTCTTTTAAAAGTAGTGTTTATACATATTATTTCAGGTTTAAATTATTAAATGTTACATAGAACCTGTTCTGCTGTATGGCAGCAAATCTTGGAATGTCAGTGAAACAAATTAAGAAGAATTTGGAAGCAATGGAAATGTGGTTTCTGAGATGAATGTTACGAATACCTAGAGTAACTAACGTTTGCTTGAAAGAAGCTAGTGAAAATATATCTCTACATACAACAGTAAGAAAGAAACAAACACTGTTCTTTGACCACATAATGAATGAGAAGGGAGACACTGAAGAACATCGTGACAACTGGAAAGATCAATGGAAAAAGGTGTAGAGGCAGACCAAGAGAGATGATGCTGGATGGGCTGAAACGATAGCATGGAGGGATATCATCCAGAGAGCTGTTTCAGGCCACCAGGGATCATGATCTGTGGAGATGCATGAGCGCCTACGCCAGATGGCAGGGCACATGATGATAATAAATATTTGCAATTGTGTTGAATGACAAACAAATATAATAATTTACTTGAAACTTAACCCCTCACCCTCCAAGGAACAAATTTATTCTTCTTCTTCTTTTTCGCGTTCACCGGTTGTGAACTCCGGCGGAAAGTTCTGGTTGTTCGTCCACTTCTGAACTGCAGTCCTGTTCCAGAACCTGAGTGTTGCGTGTGCAACCGTTTGACAGATCTGTATGCAGAATGTTGGTTCCTTGCCTCTCGGGCAGATGCACTCCGACTTCGAAGGAAGCTCCCAATTAGACTCTTATGACATGCTTTTGTGTAGGCAGTGGGTCTATTCTTGTTTTTCCCATATTAGGGCCCAGGGACCCACACGGGGGACAAATTTATTGTAGGGTCTAGCTTCTGTCACTTCCAGCAACCCCTTCCCATCATATATATACTGTAGCAAAGTTCTCTTTTTAAGCATCTGGCCTCAGTTGGTTCAAGTCTTGTTATGTTGCACAATAGTAGTAATCATTGCACAGTTAAACAAGGTTTGAACGTCTCCTCTGACCTTTGAAAATGGGGTGCTGGGGGTTATCAACCCGATGTGTGAAAAATGTCAAAGACCAAAGTGCTTCTTATGAGGTTAGTGCAGTCTTTACCACTACTAGACCTTTTCAGGGCTGTACCCACAAGTTATCTTGAGGTACACAGACAAAACAAAACTAGAGGCACAGTGTGGATACCTCTCTGGAACATTTTGAAAACTCCTGGACAACAGATATCACAGCAGACGCAAAACAAGGATCACGCGGAGTAAACAAAAGACAATAAAAGTATGTTGAATTAAGAATCATCATCACACCACTCCAGACAGTCCCATAAGCGCTTCATCCCCAACCTCAGCAGCTAAGTTCCAGTTACGAATGGTACAAGTAAGTGTCTGATTGTATGTCCATCTCGCCTTTTCCCTGAGCGTTGAGTCGTCAGCCAGATCCTGGTAACTCCCTGCAACTCCATTCTCTTTAGATAGTAATGATTTATTTGTGCCTCTGCACTGTTCACTCACGCCCAAAGGGCTCTCACACAATCTAGTTTGTCATACATCAACACCAAATGGTGCAGAACCGACCAGTCTATCTGCCTGCTCATTTCCCAACACACCAGCATGACACCGAAAAAACATCCAAGGGATGCTAACCACCTCGGACACACAAGACCAACAAGGAAGGAACCTAACTGAAGACCACAATTAAAGCCTTGTTATTTTGAGTTGAATAGGGTCGTTCGATAAAAAAGGAAAAAAGTGTGGAATAAGTGCTGGCCTTTGATTAGATACACGCTGAGAACCTAATAAGATAATTTGGGCACCTTTTCATCTTTCCAGATGGTAGGATTATATTGTGTTATGGAGAGGCATGGGACTTTGAGGTTTTGAACAACGGATCAACATCATGGCAGACGGGTGTAACTAATAAATGCTCCGTTATTTTTTTGAGTCCGAAGAAGCTCAGCACAGTGCACAGGCTCTGTAGCACCGGCTAGGATCCTGAAATACTTTAGGTAGATTTTTTAACTCCAAATTTTGCCCGGGCAGCACCATTAGGCTACTCTTTTCGATTTCCAACTGCCTAAAAAAATTGTGTGCACAACAATGCACATGGGCGTCTGATCTCACTACCCAGATACCAGGGGGAATTACGAAGAAGTCCAGGTACAACGTGAAAAACTCCCAGCACTTACCAGGGATTGAACCTGGAATCTCTAGCACTCGAGGTGGACACCATGCCTCAAGACCACGCAAGACCCACATGCATTCAGAAAAGTC